ATGTTAAATTCTGAGCTACCACAAGAATAATATATATATATATATTTTGTGGTGAGAAGTAAGAATTTCGTTGCACAAGAACAAAGAAAATGGATAGTTAGATTTTCATCCTGGGATATGATTGGATTTTGATTAAACCCAAGTGTTAACCAAAACATTACTGTTTTCAAAATATTTGCTATGTATTATATACCATTTGAATAAGTTTCTAATGGTTAGCTTTCTTGGCAAAAATGCAGCTATCAGCTACAAAAGTACAGAAATGCTGGCTCATTTGTTCTACCAGTTGACCCGAATGACAAGGAAACTTGGGGTGACAGTGAACATAGGCTTGCTTATGTGTCTGAAACCACTGTAATTTTCAAAGATATTGTTCAAGTCAGAGATGATCAATGGTGGAAAGCACTATCAACTGGTTATATCACTCAGTGGGCTGCAATGTATCCTCAAAAAATTGATGCTCTCTTCTATGCTCATTCTGTTGATGAAGTTAAGGCACTCGCACCCCTTCTTGAGAAATTCAGGTCTACTGTTGGAAAGAAAGCCTATATTGCTGTCTCCGGAGGCAATTACTGCGCTTGTGAAGATGCAGCAACTGCTCTAAAATGGCCTCAGTTGGTCTGCAAAGAGCGAAGGTTTAAGATATTCGATTTGGCTGTGGGGGCTCTTTCGGGAGTATCAAACTCGGAGGTGGTAGTGCTGCAAGGAGTGTATTCTAGCATGAAGGGTTTGATCAAAATTCACAACCCAAGGGTGGTGATCACAGTGGCTGACATTGACCCTAATGTGAAGAAAGCATTGAAAATGGCAACAGAGACTAATTTGAATGCTACAACATTGGTTCTTTTACCAAGGCCTTCAATTCCAAAGGTTCTTTGGATGGCTGATCTTAGAACAACAGCATTGCCAAGTAAGAATAGTAACTTTTCTGTTATTCATTTCCATTTTAATTTGGGCTATACAAACTTTTAATGGATACCTTTCAACTTCTATTAGTTGATTGAAACTTTGCTTCAGAATATATCAGTAACATTTGGTACCCTTTCCTCCTTTTTTTCAAACTGCATTCTGATTCTCTTTCATCTAACCAACCTATTTATCGAATGCAGATTGGAACCGAATGCGGATTTCCATCAACATCATCACCCAAAACCGAGTTCATTCACTTACAAGGCTTCTCAAGTCTCTCAGTGATGCCTACTATCTTGGGGATGAGGTACCTATCAGCTTTAACATGGACAGTAAAGTGGATGAGGCAACTATTAGACTAGTAAGTTCATTCGAATGGCCTCATGGACCTAAAACCCTCAAAAGGAGAATCATCCAAGGGGGGCTTATCAGAGCTGTCAGTGAGAGTTGGTACCCTTCATCTGATGATGATTTTGGTGTGCTACTTGAGGACGATATCGAAGTCTCTCCTTACTACTATCTATGGATCAAATATGCCCTCTTAGCCTACCATTATGATCCACAAGTGTCTCTCCCTGAGCTATCCTCAATTTCTCTTTACACTCCCAGGCTGGTTGAAGTGGTGAAAGAAAGGCCTAAATGGAATCCAACTGAGTTTTTCAAGAAAATCCATCCAAATACACCTTATTTCCATCAGTTGCCCTGCAGTTGGGGTGCTGTCTTCTTCCCCAAGCAATGGAGAGAATTTTATGTCTACATGAACATGAGGTTCACTGAAGATGCCAAGAAAAACCCAGTTCAAATTCCCAGGTCTAGGACCAATGGTTGGCAAGCTTCATGGAAAAAGTTTCTGATAGACATGATGTACCTCAGAGGCTATGTGACTCTTTATCCCAATTTTCCAAACCAGGCAAGCTTTTCCACTAATCATATGGAGCCTGGGGCTCATATCAGTGCCAAGGACAATGTTTTGAAGCATGACAAGTCAGATTTTGAAGTGCCATTGTTGAAGGAAGACTTTAGAAACTTTTTGCCAGGTGGCAAATTGCCTCCAGCCTCAAGGTTGCCATCTTTGAACCTCTTCAACCAGCCAGTCTCCCTTAAGGGCCTAAAGGCAGCTGGAGCCAAGTTGGGGCAGGATGTAATTGGATGCAATAATGCCACAGAGATAGTGATGGTTGATCATCAAACAGGTCTGCCATCAAGGTGTGCCAAATTTTAAATTGAATTGTTGTAAATTGTTATTCTTTATTTTTATACAAAAAGCAAATGTTTCTGTAATTTCCTTCTTTCCTTTTTTTTTCTTTTAACTTTATGTGAGTGGGGTTGGTGTAAGAGCAATTTGGTGGAGGAAACAGTGCTGAATTAGGTGGTGAGGATAGAATTTTGGCAAGTAGAATTGGGATTATATTGCTAATGTTGCAATGCAGCCAAAGTGGCTTGTATAAACACCTTGTGAGTAACCAAAAGTGGTTCATGTGACTTTGTAAGCAAAGGAAAAGATTGTTCAATGAATGTAAAGTCTCCCTCTCTCTCAAATGGTTGACTGTCTTTTTTCTTTTTCTTTTTTCTTTCATACAAGCAATATTAGAGTATAATGGACTCAAACACAGAACTTCGAGTGCATGGACGTTTTAATGTATCATATTTCCATTCCATTTTTTATTTCTATTGACTTCATCTTCGGTCCCACTCTTTGGGCTTGAGGCCTGAAGCAACAAGTCCATTCCACAAAACAACCTTGACAAAACCCACTACCAGTGTGACAAAAAAAACCCACTACCACATGTCCTATATGTATTGAATAATACAACAAGCAAGTCGTGTACCCGGAACGTATAAAAATTTCTCCACTACCAGCCAATCTCTACAAAAAGCCATTACACGGATCAACGTCCATCTTCATTTCACCTTTTTATTCTATCAACCGGCTAAACCATGTTAAACCCGTTTACAGTAAGACCAGCCCAATGAGCTAGGCACCTTGGGCTCGTTTTAAGCAAAGGTCCTTTAGAAAAGGCTCAATCCTTATTTATTTATTTTTTGCCAAACGGTAGAAGGCTCAATATTTAATTGAACTTTTTTGTAAAGTAAAAATATTTATTCCAAGGAACAATTTGTTATGAAAAAATATAATTTTTCTTTTCCATAAAATCAAATACAAAAATATTTATATTATAAATAACTTATAAACAAATTAGAAAGCTTTTAAGGTACAATGAAATTGAAGAAAACAAAATAATAGGTAAGTAAAAGCAAAATAAATAATAAGAATGTGAGTTTGGTACGGTGAAACACGTCAATGACGTTGTTCTAAAGCCTTTGTAACCTCCCTACATGCAGGTATTGAAGGTCTACAAGACTCTAAGATACGACCCATTGTACACAAACTCAAGATCCGCTATGAGCACGTTCATAGACGGATATAAGTATCCAAGTCACATAACTATTGCCAAAATAATAATATAAAGTAGAGAATATATATAAAAGTAGAAAATGAGAGAATTAGTTTGTGGTGGTGATTGTGGTATGTATATCTGATGATGTATTGTGGTTGTTACAAATGTGAAGAAGAGGTGGCCTTTTATAAGCATCCAAGAACATGTAACATTCACCAACCAGAAAATTAAGACATTCAATATAGAAATAAAACATAAATATTAAATATTTATAACCCCCACAATAAATAAAATAAAAAACCAAAATAATTAAATAAATAAAACGATTAAATTTTTAAAACCTTTTTAAAATTCCAACACAATTTAAAACAATTATTTTGAATAAAAAGTTATAATATGTTATGTAATATTGTAAGTGTATTTCCATTAGTATAAAATTAATTTTGATTAAAATTTAAATTAAAAATAAAAACAACTATTTTATACATTGGTAGATGATTTTTGGGGGAAAAAAATTACATTGGAGTACCAATCCCAATTTTTAGCATCTCAAAGAAAAAAAATCTCTAATGCATCTTCTTGTATTGGGATAAACATTTGCTCTTTTTTTCCCCATCAAATATGACACAAGAAACCATATTGGCACGAAAATTTAAAGACTATCAAGTGTGCAGTAATACAATGTGGCATATTAACTTATTTTTACGAATTTCTTTAAATTATCACACCTGTTGAGTGTAGAGTTTATATTTTAAATTTTAATATTAATTATCATAACGTGCTATAATTTGAGTGAATTGTCACATGTCAAGTGATGTTACGTTGTTAATACACATAAATGCCAGCCGTTTGGCATACCAAGCATTGAGTGTCTTTGCCGAATTTTGGTATTTTTACAATTTCTTTATCTATCTGAGGTATTTTTATCATTTTTGTGTGTGGAAAATTGCATATTGACACAAAAGAACAAGTATACGACAGAGAAATGAAGGGCGTCATGAGAGTTTGGCGTGTGCACCTAAAATGCAATGTTAAGTCTCGTACGTGGCGCGCATTTAAAAAAAGATGAGAAATACAGAGCAGGTACGTTTATCAAAGCTCGAACCAAGAGCAAAGCGGGCAATTTGATCAGCATGTACAAAACTGGAGCAAACCTTTTTTCGTAACCAAAACCATAAAAATACCAAGTGTAGCCGCGAAGGTGTTTGTAGGCTGTAGCAGTACATTCTCTCTTTCTCTCTCCGATACGATCGGCGACGCGCGTAAGTTTCAAACCCTAGAACCTCTGCAATGCCATTAATGTCTTTGAATTTGGATTTCGAATTTTCTGTTTGTTGAACGAAGACAATGTGATTTTCATTTTTGTTCGTTTTCGTTCATTTCGGTTGGTTTCAATGCTTTCGTATGCTGCAATTGAATTTTATTGCTTAATCGAACGTTGGGATCATTGGAAATTTTGATCTTTTCTTATGTTGATGAAGAATGCGAATGTGATATGAGGAAGGAGCAGGGGATGAATGGTGAAATTGATTTGTGATTTTGTGTTGATTTAGGAGTCAATTTCGGGGCTTGTTAGTTTGATAAAAGATTGTGAGATTGAAGAATGCAATATTGGCTGAAGAAGTTGCTGAACCAATCGAGTTTTTTCTGGGAGTGTGAGCTTTTGAGTTGAGTCTCAGAGACAACACCAATATGGTCACTGTACATCGTAGGTGCGTATTAATAAACTGATGCAGAATGCCAGATGCTTCCTAAAGATTGTTATTTTTACACTCTCTTCCTCATCAGTTTTTTTCTTTGAACTTTATTTATTTATTTTAATTTTCAGTGGGGTTGGTAAAAAATCAAATGACAGTGCCAGGCTAATTTTCACTACGACATTGGGAGCTGTCTTTGGATTTTTCATTGGCGTATCATTACCGGCAGTTTCTCTAACCAAGGTATATTGGCCTTCATCAGTATGTGTCTAAAATGAATTGGACGTGCATATGTATTTGATTTGTTTTAAACTCCACAGATTAGGTTTCCGTCAAGCATTATAACATCTCTTGATGTAGCATTCACCGAATTACGTAGACCTAATCCTCCTCCTTCAAACAGAAGTCTTGAAGATGAAGGATCAGAGGGTGTCCCTAAGGTGCCTATTGTGCTCACTCTGAATATATGTGTTTATTGTTGATTTTTCATACTGTTTGTTGTAGAAGATAGTGATAATTGTAGGAACTCAATATTAATATTGGTGACCGAATGTGTTGTTTTGCACAATACTTTTTATAATCCTACCAAAGGACACTATGCCATTAGTTAACTAAAATTCCTCTAATAAATAGTTCCCAAACTTGTTAGACCTATATAGCATATAGCATATGTTCATCAACGCATTTTCATATGTGTACTAGTTGTCTGACCAAATAAATTTCGTCTGATTTTCTTTGTTGAACTTTATAATTCAGATAAGTACAGGCATTGAATTTGACTATTAGATGACTGATTTTGGGTTATGAAAATCCTTTCTTAAAAAATTAGTTAAGTGAAAAATCATACTTGTTGATCCTTGTTCATCTATCATGTTTATTGTCATCACACCACAAAAAGGAACTATTACAGCCTTCTCTTTCCTAGAGGTTTGTCCTTGGTGGAAATTATTCCGATTGATATTGTTGCATGTTGCTGAATTTAGTGTAGTTCGGGTTCTTGATTTTTATTGTTATAAAATTTTGTTCCTAGTGCTAGTGTTGCTGCCATATTCATGTCCATTGCATTAAGTAATCGTGCTTCATACTATTTTGTTAATTTTCTCACAGATATATGTTCCAACAAACCCTCGTGGTGCGGAAACACTACCTCCTGGAATTATTGTTCCACAATCTGATCTTTATCTGCGTAGATTATGGGGTGAACCCAGTGCGGTATGATATTTAATGGTTATATTCAAAATAGCAGTGTTGCACATATTTTAATTTTCAACATAATTTTATTTATTTTTATGAAGTAGCCACATGTCTGAATGAATTAGGATTCATGGGTTTTGCTTTTGAGTGGAAAGGAGGAAGTCAGGAGATGGTATTGGAAGGAAAGATTAGTTGGGCGAATTAGTCAAATTTCGGATGCATATATTGTCTGTATGTGTCTATATCAGTGTGTAACCTTGGAGTAGTTTTCCAACTAGTAGTAGTCCTACACTTACTCTCCAGCTTGGGGACCATTGTTGATTTTGCATGTTGCTTATTTATCTGTCTGTGAAAATGCTTGTAATAACGATTTTGAATTCTGCAGGATCTGAAAACAATTCCTAAGTACTTGGTATCATTTACAGTTGGTATTAATCAGAAAAAAAATATTGATGCAGCAGTAAAAAAGGTTTAAAAAATGTGCCATTCCTATTTTCTTTTTCTTTTTCATTTATTGATTTGATTTCAAGAGTACTGATGTTCATTCATTCTCACATTTTGGTAGTTCTCTGAGAACTTCGCAATCTTGCTTTTTCACTATGATGGTCGGACTAGTGAATGGGATGAGTTTGAGTGGTCAAAGAGGGCAATTCATGTTAGTGTGAAGAGACAAGCAAAATGGTAAGTTTTAATGGTGTTTTTCATGGTTTAAAGTTCTCATTTGTGTAACTGTTTCCAATCCGAAATCATTTTAAACTAGTTGCAGTCAGTTTTAATTTCTTTACAGAATCAAGCTTTTGCAGCCTTTTGTCATGTAAATACTTTTCAATGTTTGCAGGTGGTATGCAAAAAGGTTTTTGCATCCTGATATTGTAGCAGCTTATGAATATATTTTCATTTGGGATGAAGATTTGGGAGTTGAGCACTTCGATGGAGAGAAGTAAGTTTCTCTTTCATCAAACATGGTTTTTTTTTTGTTCACCCATCAATCATGGTTTTTAGTCTTGATTTTACTATTCATGTTTTTTACTCATTCCCTTTTACCTTATTCTCCAATTGATGCTCTGTGTGATTTACCAGGTATATTCAGTTGGTCAAGAAATATGGTTTGGAGATCTCTCAACCTGGTCTTGAGCCCAATAATGGACTGACATGGGAGATGACAAAGAGGAGAGGTGACAGAGAAGCTCACAAGTACTCTCTCTCCTCTCTTACTCAACACCCCTTTCCCCTTATACACTGACTCAAATCATCATGCAGCTATAAAATGTGCCATGTTTTGAAAATTAATTTCAGCATTTCTTTATGTCTGGGTTGATAAACAGGGATACAGAAGAAAAACCAGGCTGGTGTAGTGACCCACATCTCCCTCCATGTGCTGCGTATGCTCTCTCTCTCTCTCTCTCTCTCTCTCTCTCTCATGTACCATGAGCAGCCACGTGTGTGAACATGTTTGTTGTGTTCATGCATGTATCCATGTTTGTGTGAGCTCACGTGCTCTAAAATAATGTGGATATGCCTTGCCTGGTACTCTAGTGCTTATCTTGACAATGTGCCCATTTATACGCTACGCTATTTACTGTTTATACATTTTATTCAAATTTTTGGGTGCTTCAAGCAAAAAATTTAGGAGATTATCAATTTTGTAAATATGAGCTTTATTCAGTTGAAGTGTTTATTAAGTTGTTTGGAGGTTAAGCTTTGTTAATAAGGTTATACTAACATATTTTGCATGATTAAATAAACAACTTTATTTTATTTTATAGTTCTGGTCTCAAAATTTAGTCAGAATGATTCTAAGTCTAACAGTTAACATTTCCATCTGAACATCGTTCAGATTTGTGGAAATAATGGCCCCGGTTTTTTCTCGGGAAGCTTGGCGGTGTGCATGGCATTTGATTCAGGTATGGTGTATTGTTAATTTCCGGCTGGGTTATTCGTACATAATGACGACATGCAACAAGATCTTTTCAAATTTCACAATCTTCTCTTTTGAAGGGATTTTATGTTCTTTTTCTTTGTTAACTTCCCTTTAATCGATAATAAAATGTTTTGTTTGTGCTTGTAGAATGATTTAGTGCATGGATGGGGATTGGATTTTGCTCTCAGAAGATGTGTAGAGGTAGACAGTCTTTGCATTTTATTGTTCCTCTTCGTATTTTTTAGGATGGCCTTACATGGTTGGTTATGTTTCAATTAATCAATTTTAAAGGCCTTGGTGAAATACACAGTTTCATTTCATGTCATTGTTGATTGGTTACTGCCACCCTCCATTTCATTACCTGCAAAATACTTTTTAATACAAAAACATATTTTTACAACTTTGTTTAGAGATACTATTCTAACTGTTGTCTGAAAGTTCACTTCGTGATACTATTGTTTCTTTTGTCTGAAAGTTCAAAGCTTAATTTTCGTATAGTGTCTGCAGAGGGTTTCCTTGAAAACAAAAGAAACAATGTATTGAATCAATGCAGGCAATGATTGTTGATTTGTTGTTGGGCATGTGTCAACACCAAGGAACTTGTAAATAAATGCCAACCCAATTCCATTCCAAATGATAAATAGTTCATGCTTAAAATACAAGTATGAAATATTAAACAAATTATGCCTTACCTATTTCTTTGATAGATTATTTATGAGCTACGCTGTCAATGTGAGTGCCTTATCTATTTTTGGAATGCAATCTCATCTGGAGTAGTAGGAATGTATGGCATTGTGTTATTTTTATTACTAATTAATTTGAAGCGATTGCTAATTGCTATGATGAGCTATGCTTTCCTCTCTAGAAACCTAATCAAAACCTTTTTTTTTTTTTTTTTTTTCTTTTTTTCTCAGCCTGCACATGAAAAGATTGGTGTAGTTGATTCACAGTGGATTGTTCACCAAGTAATTCCTTCTCTTGGGAGCCAGGTGAGTGATCATTGGTATCTGTTCTAGAGAGATAGCCCATGTATGCATACACACATTTATGAGCATATCGTATGTAGACAATGACAAAAAGAAATCATACATAGAATAGGCAGGGTATAGTAAAACTTAAGAAAGTGGTACGTCTTGCTTTGGTTAGGTTTAAAAATTATGTGACAAGATTGATATCTGGTAATTTTTAATTTTATGTAGGGATAGATATAGGTGGAATGGCGCAGCATATTAGTAAGGACCAAGACCCTGCTTTTATTTTATTTTATTTTTTTGGGCAGAAACAGGACCATGCTTTTTATGTGATGGTGTTATCAATTTGTTTGGCGTGAGGTTGTTATCAACTAGTTTTCTACTTCTAAGTTGGTAAAAAGCCAATGGATGTCTCTACCTTGCATGGGGTGCTCATATCATCTTGTAGCTACTTTTCTTAGTTTAACACTTTGTCTTATTTCCCTAATGAAAACCTGTTAATCTTGATCATTCTTAAATCATCATCAATTTTCAGGGAGATCCTGAGGATGGAAAAGCTCCATGGGAAGGGGTACGTGACATGGTATATTAAGTTCTTATCATACATTCTACACTTCTTCTTAGCTATGTTCTGGATTATTGAAATGTATGTCTTTATCGTTATGGTAGACTTATAACCCATGATTTCATCCGCTTTTTTCAATGCATTTACGGGTTTACTAGTTTAACCTTTTCATACTTCTGAGTTAAAAAATTTGCATTCGTAATTGTTGGGGAAAACTATTTCCATTTGACCGTTTTACTTTCTTTCCTGGTGTTCCTCATGCAGGTAAGAACACGGTGCAAAAATGAGTGGGCTGAATTCCAGGCTCGCCTCCTTGGCGCAGACCAGGCATACCTTTCTCAGAGAGGAAGGGGGTAAATACAACTTTATCCCCTTAAACAAAAGCCTCCACCCCAACCCACACCCACCCCTTTTCTCATTTTGTACATGTTTTCACTTGGCGAGAAAGGGGGTGGGGTGTGTCGAAGAAGAGTGCAATTCCGACTGTAATATTTTCTCCCTTTGCTAAGCCGAATTCTATGTATCTTACACGTTGTTAGTTTTGTAAGAGGAGAGAAATTTACCCTGCCTGAGATAGAGTTTGTTGAGTATCTACCTTGTGCGTTTCATAGAGGGAATTGTGGTCTGCAAAGGCCAATTTTGTATGGATTTTGGAAGTAAGCTATTTATATACAATACAGCACATCGATCAATGCCAACATTTTCAATATCGCTGGTTGCTTTTGCTTCTCAGGTCTCTCAAAGTCCTCTGTTTGAATCAAAATCGATTTTGAGTTTATTCATCGGTACGAAAGAGTCAGAACATTGATGAACTTGCGTCCAGACACTAACTAGGAAGAACAAACAATTAAAGACACTTTACATGTACTCCTATGGTCTATCGAATTTTCTTTTTCTCCTGATAGGAATTAGGGTTTCCATTCTCCTCAACATCTTTTTTGTAGTAGTTAAATTCAAATTTCTTGGCAGTTGCACCAAATTAGTCTTGTAATGGTTTTTTTTTAAATTATTTTATTTTTAATACAAGCGATAGTCTAAACTACAAGAAGTTTCTCACACAAACTACAAGGGTGTTATGTGGGTTCGAACATGAAACCATTGATCTACAAGTCAATACCCTTTCTCCTGGTTAGACCCCGTTTGTAGTAATGTTATGTTTTAAGAGTGCTAAAAATGCGCCTACAAAAAAAGTTCCTAGAATACATATTCATAAAATTCTATAGAAACTGATGCTAAACAAAGTGAAAATAATCCAATCAAAATAAAAACAAATTAAAAAAATGAAGTTAATATAAATGACTAAACTGAAAAAATATTAACACTATAAATTAGTGAATTTTTTTTTGGGTTTAGTAAATTGTACAAACTCAAATCGAACTAATGACAAGTCTAGTTAGACCAACAAAAGAAGAAGAAGAAAAGAGTCAGTGTGTTATAGCTAATTGGTTGAGCTTTTCTACCTCCACTCATGTGGACAGAGTTTCGAAACCCACCTAATGAATATTTGTGTAAAATCACAATTCCCAAATTTCTTATACTAAAATAAAATAAAAATAAAAATAAAAATCTAACCGGGCAGCCAATAGGTTGTGTACCCGCCAAAACGACATTGAATGAAGTCCATGCTGTCGTGCCCTCCCTTCCTTGTCCAAAATGAAAAACTCAAAGGAAGACAGAGAGACGCAAATGCGTGAACGAGATGTGACTCTCTCTCTCTAACTCTGACGCAGGGATCTTCTTTTCTCATTATGAGAGGAACCAAAACTGAGCGCGATCGATCTAAACCCCTACGGCGACGAAGCATTGTGCTCGTCTTTAAGCTCGCGGTGTCGACGACGAAATCGAAGCGGCTCTTCAGGTTCCTAGTTTCCCTTTCCTCAGTCGTTTCGTTTGTTAATTGTGTTTGGTTTCAGAGAAATGTTACAAAGAAAGACAGGGAAAACGAAGGTTGAGTATAATGTGATGAAATATGCAGAAAGTCGAGAAGGCTTTGACGAGAGTAGTTGGGCTATAGAGTTGCAACGAATGTGGAGATTAAGGCTCGATTTGTGGAGGAAGCTCCTAAGCTGCCCAAATTTGCTCAGAAAAAGGTGAACTCAAATCTATGTTTTTAAATTTTAAATTTCATTTTTGTTTTTTCAATTGTTGTGTTTAAATTGAAATTTTATGAAAGATGCTTGATTAGATATGATTTGGTGAGTCACATTCAATTCTGCCAGCGATGAGATTTTGTGTAGAGATTAAGTGTGATAATATCTCCAAATTGATGCCATATTCTTATAACAATGATTCTGAAACAAGAGTGCTTCTTGTAATGGAACAAAACAATCTTCATCAATGAAATAGGCTTACTGTAGCAAAATCTAGCAGGAACAAGACTAGGAAGTTGAGGTTGGGGATTTTATTTTATTTTTTCCAAGATAGGACACGGAGGAAGCTAATTGGAGACAATTTGATTCTAAAACGATTGGCATAAGAATTGGGACTCTGAAAATCCTTGCAGATAAAGGAACCCAAATTTGGTGATTTCTTAGTTGGTGGAATAGCATCAGTTTCTCTAACCCTAATGACCTGGCCTGTGTTGATTCTCCGGCTTGATATTGGAGGTCATTTACTTTTCTCAAAATTTACAATCTCTGCATTCTCAGAAAAAATACAAATTTCTGAGAAGGGCTTCATGTCATCTGCTTTTTGTTAATTCCTTCTACTATAAACCATTTCATTTTTAATGCTCATATTTGACCCTCAAACAACCTTTTAACATGTTACCCTGCTTCAAAACTTTACTTGCCACCTTATGATGTTTCCACTGCACTGTTGGTAGCTGATGTGAATTTGCTCCGATAACGGAAATTGAGTCATACTTGGGTCAATTGTTGATCACTAATTTATAGATACTTGAGTCATACTTTTCAATCACTAATTTATATCAAGAGCTGAAATGGCTGTCAGGGGCAAGATACTAAATGTACATACCTAGACTTATATCTTCAAACCTAGATTTGTTGATTTCTATCAACTCTACTATGTCTTAAGACATTGTGTAGATTCAATTTGTTTTGCATCCTGTCCAAAGTTGACAAACGCCACACTTTTAACACTAAGCTGTTTGCTTATAGTTTCAGTGCCACACAATAGCAGGTTACAGGGCTGTCAAAAGAATAACTAGAAATGCGTAATGATGTCGTTCTTTTCCTGCCTGAGAGGATTCAAGAAATACCATACGGAACAAAAAGTGCAGCCAGAAAAGCTGGGGGATGGGGAACTTCAGCTTCTTATAAGATAAATGTGTCGTATGTTGGAAATTAATTTCAGCATTTCCTTATGTGTCTGGAATGATAAACAAGGATACAGAACAAATACCAGGCTGGTGTAATGACCCACATCTGACTCCTTGTGCCACGTATGCTCTCTCTCGCTCTCATGTACCTTTCTAAGCATGCACTTGTGTTCACATCCATGCTGGGTGTGTGCATGCATATAGTATGTGTGAATTCGCCTGCTCTAAAACAATGTGTGTATATATTGTCCGGTGCACTCTGGACAATGTGCCCATTTATGCACAATGCTATTTATTGTTTGTTTCTTTACTTTAATTGTTCTATTCTTTGGGTGCTTCTTGCTAAAATTTTATGAAAATGGTCAATTTTGTAAATATGAGGTTTATTCTGTTGGAAAGTTTACTAAGTTTGGATGGTATACGTACTTGAAAATTTTGCAAGATTAGAAAGCAACTTTAGCTTGAAGGAAGATTCAATAGCTGGAAGGAGATGATATTTGTTCTTTCTCTTAGTTTTTGGTCTCAAATTGTAGTCATAATGATTCTAACAGTTAAAACTTCCATCTGAGTATTGTTCAGGTTTATGGAAATGATGACCCTTGTAATTTCTCGGGAAACTTGGCGTTGCAGGGCATATGATTCAGGTATGGTCTATCGTTAGAATTCATACATAATCACTTACAAACAAGATCTTTCTGAATCACACAATCTTCTCATCTAAAGGATTTTTTTTCTTCTTTAACTTCCTTGCAATTGATAATGAAATGCTTTGTTGTATGATTGTAGAATGATTTAGTGCATGGATGGGGATTGGATTTTTCTCTCAGAAGATCTATGGTTAGCAGTTTTTTCATTTTGTTCTTTGTTCCTCTTCTTCGTATATTCTTTTCTAGGATTTTTGCTGCTATGATATTTGCCTTGAATGGTTGTTTTTGTTTCAATTGCTCACTTTCAGACCTGCACTAGAAGATGCTTGCTAGCAAAATAGTAAAGACGTTGTTTAGTGATACTCTTATTACTTATGAATAAAAGTTAAAAGCTTAAGTTTCATTTAATTTCTGCAGAGGATTTCCTTGAATTGAAAGAAATGAAGTATCAAGTATCGAGATTAAGTTGGACTTGCTTGGACTGTATGCATCAACAGGAAGGAATTTGAATATGAGTGCCAACTCAATTCCAGTCTAAATATTAAGCAACAGAATCATGTCTAAATTATTTGTTGGATAGATCGTTTATGAGCTTTGCTCTCTATAGGAATGCCTGTCATATATGAACATTTTATTTGACATGTTTATGAGACAATAGTTTGATGTGTGGATTATAAAAAATGTAGCCCTGTCTAATTTTTGGGATGCAATCCTCTAGAATGGTAAATTAGTCATACTAGCCTGTACTATTCACCGAGGTGTTGCAACTGCTAGATGCTCTAAGAATCTTGTTTTGTCTGTCTTTTTATTTTTCTCTCACCAGCCCACACATGAAAAATTGGCGTGGTTGATTCACAGTTGATTGTTCATAAAGCAATTCCTTCTGTTGGGAGCCAGGTGAGTCATTATTGTTATCTGTTACACCCATTATATGCAAATTGTACATAAACATGTCCCTATCCTGTGAAGTAAAACTTAAGCAAGGGGTACTTCTTGCCTTAGTTTTAGAATATTATATGAAACGTGAATGAAATGCTTTATTGAATGCTTGTAGAATGATTTGGTACATGAATGGGGATTAGATTTTGCTCTCAGATGATCTGTAGGAGTTTGTAGTTTTTCCATCTTATTGTTTGTTCCTCTTCTCGTATTTTCTTTCTAGGTTTTTGCTGTTATGTTATTTGCCTTATATGATTGTTTATGTTTCAATTGCTCACTTTCAGACCTGCACTAGGCAGTAGTAAAGGTTGATATTTAGTTTAGAATATTATATGAAACGTGAAAATGTCGATATCTGGTAAATTTTTATCTTATGTAGCGATAGATATAGGTGTGACTGGGGGCTGAATATTAGTAAAGATTTCTCTACCTTAAAACATCATACCATGGGGTGAAAGTAATCATATCATCTTGCAGCCACGAAGGGGGTGAGTTGAAGTAGAGTCCAATTCCTAAAAGTTTACATGCAGAAGTTAACTGAAAGAAATAAAAAAATTAAAATTAAATTACGTATACTAATTCAGAAAGGAGATTACAAAGTGTCAATACAATTATTCAATGTTTTGCCCGTCCAGCTGTTGTTAGAATTTGTCTATGTTTGTGTGAGGTTGCCTGCACACAAACAATGCGGATGTATCTTGCCCGAAATCTAGTGCTTATCTTGACAATGTGCCCGTTTATGCAGTATGCTATTCACTGTTTCTTCATTTGCTTATTTGATTCGAGTTGTGTTGTCACTGGTGTGCTTCTTGCAAAACTTACAGGATATATATATAATGGTCAATTTTGTGCATATGATCTTTATTCTGTTGAAGTGTTTACTAGTTGTTTGTTTGGTCGGTACACTTAAAAGTTCTGCAAGATTACATAAATAGCGTTAGCTTGAAGGAAGGTTTGTTTGCTGTAAAGTGATGGCATTTGTTCTTTTTCTTAGTTCTGGCCTCAAAGTTTAGTCAGAATGATTCTAACATTTTACACTTCCATCTGAGAATTGTTCAGATTTATGGAAATAATGCCCCTGGTATTTTCTCGGGATGCTTGTGGTTGTGCATGGCAAATGATTTGGGATGCTTGGTGCTAATGAATTTGCATGCAGAAATTAACTAAAAGAATTAAACAGTTAAAGAAAAATTACATATATTCATCAAGAAACGAAATTACATAGTGTCAAAATTTTGGTACAAATATTCAATGTTTCATCCCCTTGATACAAATTAATATTGAGTCATCTCCTCTAATATTTATGATAATTGAGCCGATGATCAATGGCCCATTAACTCATCCACAAACGAATTGTTGGAGAAGCGGTTGATGTCTTCTTCTAAAGGTTGGTAATTGCCCAGATTCTGGAAATGACTTGGATTACAATAAGCTTCCATTTCTCCTCCATTGGTTGATTCAGCACCGACCTCAGAAGTTGGAAATGGCACTTGGCTTTCATCTGTAGCAGCAATCTGTGGCGTTTGTGGCAATGGCCATTCCCCGGCTAGGTCTGGAAATAATTCGTCCATGTAGTCGTCAATGGTCGGAGAATTGATCAAGTACCCTTCTTCATCACTATCACCCAAGAATATCAGAGTGTCATGAGGACAGTAATCAGTGTTGTTTAGCAACTGATCCTGATGTTCATCAGAATTATTGTTGCCCATGTGATTATCATTCACCAAATTACTTGGCTCACAAGCTTCTATTACACCATCAACAGAGTCGGCACCGACCGGAGAAGCTGGCAAGGGCACATGATTTTGATCAGCAATCTGTGGCAGATCTGGCAGTGGCCATTCCATGTCACTGAAAATCATCTTAGTATCATCAAGAGTGTTAATATCATCAAAAGTAATAATATCATTGATCATCATGGTATTATCATCAGGGAAGTAATTACTGTTTATGAACTGATCATCATGATTATTATGAGTCAACTGGTTATTACCTTTCTCATCATCAGAGACCACGAGAGTAGTAGGAGAGCGGTATTTTTGTGGTTCCAGATTCATATTTTCTTGTGATCCCATTTCTTGCTCATCTTTTTTCACTTTTTTGCCTTTTGTTGTAAGACTGGGCTTGGGCTTGGTGAGCATCTTCTTCTTTGGATATTGATGTTCTGATAATGATGAGGAACACTTTCTCTTGTTTCCGAACAACCTCTCATTCTTTCTCAGCCGACAAATCACATAATCGAAAGCGCAACCCTCATCAGAAAGACTATATTCCTCTAAAAACCACCCACTGTGTTCCTCGGACCCTTCATTCTCGTAGCGGAATTTTCGTTTATGTCCGATTTCATTCCCCTCTTCATCATAAACAGCATCACAACGTTCGCCACTCCAAGTCCCTCCTCCGAGCCCAACCTTGCGGTTGATTTTTCGGGAACCCGCCTTGGAGGATAACGTGTTGAGTTCGGAGAAGAAATACAATTCTTGATCATGGGGATGGAGTTGCTCTCCTCCAAAGCCGTTCCAAATCTCGGAGGGTTCGAACTCGGTGCCGAAAATGTTGAACTTCCGGATAATGGCGTCGTACGTTGCCATTAGAGCCTTTTTCTCTACAACCATCTTGTAGAGAAAGAGAGTGATGAGTTCTTGGTCTGTGGGGCGGAAGCGGAAGCCGACACGATCATCGGAGTCGGCCATATCCTTAATTATCAACAACAATATAGAACCCTAGGTTCTACGAGATGGATGAGAATATAGAGAATAGGAAAGCAAAGCTGAACTAGGGTTTCAATTTGAGATGTGGAGTTGTTTCCTTATCAGATGTGGAGAAACTTAGAAGAGAGAGACCTTATATTTATAGTCAGAGTGAGTCAACTGATTGTTTGCTTATCATATATGGAATCAATCAGATCCCAAATGCATTCATTACAATTCTCGGATTGGAGGATTTCGAAACTACTTTGCCACAAATTAAGGAAAAGTAAAATTAGCCGTTGGGAGTATCAATGTTTGTCCGCACCACACCCTCTGTTCCACTTCCAGTGGTGGCTCTTGACTCTTGAGATTCGCATATCGGTTCGGGTCGGGTCGGGATTTGCTGCCTAATTGGTAGTCGAACGAACGATGCCGTGTTCGGTTTTTTGTTTTGCTCTGTAAATAGTTTGGATGTGTCAGAATTTAGTAACTAAAACGAAAACTGGATTTGGAAAAAGACAAAAAAGGTTCGTGGTTTGTTTTCGTGTAGTTTATTATTAATTAGGAGTGAATGTGAGTTGAATAATTAATAAATTATTTTTTTATTTTTTTTTTTTTTGTTTTTTTTTTTATGTTTATTTTATTTAATTTGTGTCGTTTATTATGTGTATAGAAACATTCTGCTATGGGAATTACTGCTGAATGATAAATAATCAGTGGTAATAGATTAGTCTTGTAATTGCATATCATTATAGGCACACATAAATTTGTGTCGTTTATTATGTGTATAGAAACATTCTACTATGGAAATTACTGCTGAATGATAAATAATCAGTGGTAATAGATTAGTCTTGTAATTGCATATCATTATAGGCACAAAGAACAATAAGTTTTTTATTTTATATACATGATATTGGGGAAGGGGGTTTTCTCACCCATACTCTCGTAGTGTCTTAAAGGTTGGGTTCAATCTTGAGATCTAGTCTGTAAATAAAAATGATAATAAATAAGTTATTTTTTGGGTTTGAAAATTAATAAATAATCCAATTCATACAATGAGAAATTTTTTGAAATTTCTCGTTGAACTTGGAAAAATATTAATTATAAAATTAAAAATATAGTATTAGATTTAAAAAATTTGTAAAATAAATAATAAAATAAAAAAGCAACCGGTTTGGTCCGATTTGGCGCGGTGTGAAATTGAAACCAAAACCGGTTGGATAAGTTTGGTCCAGTTTGTTGACTTTTTTGGTCAACTGATTTTTCCCCCCTTTTTTAAGCCGGTCCAGTTCGATATTCTGGCTTTCCCGTCCCAATGCCCACCCTAGATATGATCAAATAACCATGCCTTTGTTTTTATTTTATTTTTATACAATGCCCATTTTCTCTTGCATATCTTAAAATCATGTGTAGTAAAGAGAACAAAAAGAATGTTCTCGTAGAATTGAATAGATGCATAACTCTTGGGAGATTTTATTGGCACTCTATTATTTGCTCTTTGCACCCCATACTAGTTTTAAACATGAATAATTTATTTAACCCTTGTACATAATTACCGTTAAGGACAAAAAACATTTATAATAAAAATTAAATTTGCTCACTACACCCCACATATGCTCCTTCAACTCTAGTTAGACTTTTTTCTCAAACCATCATGTTTCTACAATCCTAATGAGGTTTATACGCTTATATTGGTGAAAAAATATATTGTATTTATTCATGAAGGGTGAGATTGAAGTTAGAAAGACTTCGAATGAGGTTTGAGTTAATTTTTTGGCGTTTTTCAAGCTTAGGATTTCATGATGGTTCGCTGGTTGCGTTCAACACACCAATACGGAATGCGATAGGTAAATTCGGTGGGATGCCACCGAAACATTGCAACTATTTCGGTGGTGTTTGACCGGCTGTTAACTTCAGATGCAGTGGAGATCCACCATAATATGGAACGGTATTCGGTGGTGTATTACCGAATTTTAGGCTACAATTCAGTGGCAACAAACTGAAATATATTTATTTTTTCAGTAACTTATTGTCGACCACAAATTTAATGTAAGCTATTTTGACCTTACTCCTATTGAAGGAACAAAAACAAGGTGATGCCCTTAAAATAGATTACACATCATCAAATGTGATGGTCATCTCACCAAAAAGCATCTGAAAGATGTTCATTTCGGGATGCCATCTCTCAACGAAGGTAGATACAACAATCTTATATATATGCCAATAAGAACACTTATTAAGTTGCTCTAATCCAAACCTCTGAATGTACCATTTGAATACACCATTATTTGGATTAGTCCACCAATTTCACTAACGAAGGGTAAATGTCTTTGACATGCACCTAAGGTGCTCACATTCCTAATAAAAAACAATATTAAGTACAAACTCAATAACGAATTCGGTAGATGATCATTGAAATAAGAAAGGAATTCAAGGAAACAAAAAAGGAATTCAATAGACTACCACTGAAAAACGGAAACATATTCGGTGGACTACCACTAAAAAATTGAAACAGATTCGGTGGACTACTACTGAAAACATAAACACATTTGGTGAATAGCCATTGAAAAATGAAAACTAGTTTGGTGGACTACCATTGAATAAGGTAACGATTTCAGTGGGGTTTACACGGGTAAGTTAAGGAATGGAGTTCATGAGGGCAATCTAGGAAGAAAAATGAGGTGTAATGAGTAATTTTAAAATTTACTAAAATTCAACAGGGTGTAAGGAGAATATGTGGTGCAAAAAGCAAATTTTGGGGTGCCAATAAAATTACCCATAACTCTTTGATTATTGTTAGCTGCTGCCTCTAGTGCTCCATCAACACAAGCTTCAACTCTTTCTCTTATTCCATGAAGATGACCTCTCATTCCTTCTCCGCCGGGCCAAAATCACAAAATCAAAACCATAACTAATGAATATTTGTGTAAAACCTCCCTTCCCAAATTTCTAATACTAAAATAAAAATAAAAATAAAAATCTAACCGGGCAGCCAATAGGTTGTGTACCCGCCAAAACGACATTGAATGAATTCCGTGCTGTCATGCCCTCCCTTCCTTGTCCAAAAATGAAAAACTCAAAGGAAGACAAAGAGACGCAAATGCGTGAACGATATGTGACTCTCTCTCTCTCTCTCTCTAACGCAGGATCTTCTTTTCTCATTCCAGAGGAACCAAAAATGAGCGCGATCGATCGATCTAAACCCCTACGGCGACGATGCATTGTGCTCCTCTTTACGCTCGCGGTGTCGACGACGAAATCGAAGCGGCTCTTCAGGTTCCAAGGTTCCCTTTCCTCAGTCGTTTCGTTTGTTAATTGTGTTTGGTTGCAGAGAAAATGTTACAAAGAAAGACCGGGAAAACGAAGGTTGAGTATAATGTGATGAAATATGCAGAAAGTCGAGAAGGCTTTGACGGAGAGTAGTTGGGCTATAGAGTTGCAACGAATGTGGAGATTAAGGCTCGATTTGTGGAGGAAGCTCCTAAGCTGCCCAAATTGGCTCAGAAAAAAGGTGAACTCAAATCTATGTTTCTAAATTTTAAATTTCATTTTTGTTTTTTCAATTGTTGTGTTTAAATTGAAATTTTATGAAAGATGCTTGATTAGATATGATTTGGTGAGTCACATTCAATTCTGCCAGCGATGAGATTTTGTGTAGAGATTAAGTGTGATAATATCTCCAAATTGATGCCATATTCTTGTAACAATGATTCTGAAACAAGAGTGCTCCTTGTAATGGAACAAAACAATCTTCATCAATGAAATAGGCTTACTGTAGCAAAATCTAGCAGGAACAAGACTAGGAAGTTGAGGTTGGGGATTTTATTTTATTTTTTCCAAGATAGGACACGGAGGAAGCTAATTGGAGACAATTTGATTCTAAAACGATTGGCATAAGAATTGGGACTCTGAAAATCCTTGCAGATAAAGGAACCCAAATTTGGTGATTTCTTAGTTGGTGGAATAGCATCAGTTTCTCTAACCCTAATGACCTGGCCTGTGTTGATTCTCCGGCTTGATATTGGAGGTCATTTACTTTTCTCAAAATTTACAATCTCTGCATTCTCAGAAAAAATACAAATTTCTGAGAAGGGCTTCATGTCATCTGCTTTTTGTTAATTCCTTCTACTATATACCATTTCATTTTTAATGCTCATATTTGACCCTCAAACAACCTTTTAACATGTTACCCTGCTTCAAAACTTTACTTGCCACCTTATGATGTTTCCACTGCACTGTTGGTAGCTGATGTGAATTTTGCTCCGATAACGGAAATTGAGTCATACTTGGGTATTGTTGATCACTAATTTATAGATACTTGAGCCATACTTTTCAATCACTAATTTATGTCAAGAGCTGAAATGGCTGTCAGGGGCAAGATACTAAATGTACATACCTAGACTTATATCTTCAAACCTAGATTTGTTGATTTCTATCAACTCTGTTATGTCTTAAGACATTGTGTAGATTCAATTTGTTTTGCATCCTGTCTAAAGTTGACAAACTCCACACTTATAACACTAAGCTGTTTGCTTATAGTTTCAGTGGCACACAATAGCAGGTTACAGGGCTGTCAAAAGAATAACTAGAAATGCGTAATGACGTTGTTCTTTTCCTGCCCGAGAGGATTCAAGAAATACCATACGGAACAAAAAGTGCAGCCAGAAAAGCCGGGGGATGGGGAACTTCAGCTTCTTATAAGATAAATGTGTCGTATGTTGGAAATTAATTTCAGCATTTCCTTATGTGTCTGGAATGATAAACAAGGATACAGAACAAATACCAGGCTGGTGTAATGACCCACATCTGACTCCTTGTGCCGCGTATGCTCTCTCTCGCTCTCATGTACCTTTCTAAGCATGCACTTGTGTTCACATCCATGCTGGGTGTGTGCATGCATATAGTATGTGTGAATTCGCCTGCTCTAAAACAATGTGTGTATATCTTGTCCGGTGCACTCTGGACAATGTGCCCATTTATGCACAATGCTATTTATTGTTTGTTTCTTTACTTTAATTGTTCTATTCTTTGGGTGCTTCTTGCTAAAATTTTATGAAAATGGTCAATTTTGTGAATATGAGATTTATTCTGTTGAAAAGTTTACTAAGTTTGGACGGTATACGTACTTGAAAATTTTTCAAGATTAGAAAGTAACTTTAGCTTGAAGGAAGATTCAATAGCTGGAAGGAGATGATATTTGTTCTTTCTCTTAGTTTTTGGTCTCAAATTGTAGTCATAATGATTCTAACAGTTAAAACTTCCATCTGAGTATTGTTCAGGTTTATGGAAATGATGACCCTTGTACTTTCTCGGGAAACTTGGCGTTGCAGGGCATATGATTCAGGTATGGTCTATCGTTAGAATTCATACATAATCACTTACAAACAAGATCTTTCTGAATCACACAATCTTCTCCTCTAAAGGATTTTTATTTATTTTTTCTTCTTTAACTTCCTTGCCATTGGTAATGAAATGCTTTGTTGTATGCTTGTAGACTGATTTAGTGCATGGATGGGGATTGGATTTTTCTCTCAGAAGATCTATAGAGGTTAGCAGTTTTTCATTTTGTTGTTTGTTCCTCGTATTTTCTTTTCTAGGATTTTTGCTGCTATGATATTTGCCTTGAATGGTTGTTCATGTTTCAATTGCTCACTTTCAGACCTGCACTAGAAGATGCTTGCTAGCACAATAGTAAAGACGTTGTTAAGTGATACTCTTGTTTCTTATTATGAATAAAAATTAAAAGCTTAAGTTTCATTAATGTCTGCAGAGGATTTCCTTGAATTGAAAGAAATGAAGTATGAAGTATCGAGATTAAGTTGGACTTGCTTGGACTGTATGCATCAAAAGGAAGGAATTTCATATATAAGTGCCAATTGAATTCCAGTCTAAAGCAACAGAATCATGTCTAAATTATTTGTTGGATAGATCGTTCATGAGCTTCACTCTCTCTATAGGAATGCCTGTCATATATGAACATTTTATTTGACATGTTTATGAGACAGAGTAGTTCGATATGTGGATTATAAAAAATGTAGCCCTGTCTAATTTTTGGAATGCAATCCTCTGGAATGGTAAATTAGGCATGCTAGCCTGTACTATTCACCGAAGTGTTGCAACTGCTAGATGCTCTAAGAATGTTGTTTTGTCTGTCTTTTTATTTTTCTCTCACCAGTCCACACATGAAAAATTGGCGTGGTTGATTCACAGTTGATTGTTCATCAAGTAATTCCTTCTGTTGGGAGCCAGGTGAGTCATTATTGTTATCTTTTACACCCATTATATGCAAATTGTACATAAACATGTACCTATCCTATGAAGGGTCTAGTAAAACTTAAGCAAGTGGTACTTCTTGCCTTAGTTTTAGAATATTATACGAAACGTGAATGAAATGCTTTATTGAATGCTTGTAGAATGATTTGGTACATGAATGGGGATTAGATTTTCTCTCAGATGATCTGTAGAGTTTGTAGTTTTTCCATCTTATTGTTTGTTCCTCTTCTCGTATTTTCTTTCTAGGTTTTTGCTGTTATGTTATTTGCCTTATTATATGATTGTTTATGTTTCAATTGCTCACTTTCAGACCTGCACTAGGCAGTAGTAAAGGTTGATATTTAGTTTAGAACATTATATGAAACATGAAAATGTTGATATCTGGTAAATTTTTATCTTATGTAGGGATAGATATAGGTGTGACTGGGGGCAGAATATTAGGAAAGATTTCTCTACCTTGAAACATCATATCATGGGGTGAAGGTAATCATATCATCTTGTAGCCACGAAGGGGGTTAGTTGAAGTAGAGTCCAATTCCTAAAAGTTTACATGCAGAAGTTAACTCAAAGAAATAAAAAATTAAAATTAAATTACGTATACTAATTAAGAAAGGAGATTACAAAGTGTCAATACAATTATTCAATGTTTCACCCGTCCAGCTGTTGTTAGAATTTGTCTATGTTTGTGTGAGGTTGCCTGCACACAAACAATGTGGATGTATCTTGCCCGATAATCTAGTGCTTATCTTGACAATGTGCCCGTTTATGCAGTATGCTATTCACTGTTTCTTCATTTGCTTATTTGATTCAAGTTGTGGTGTGCTTCTTGCAAAACTTACAGGATATATATATAATGGTCAATTTTGTGCTTCTTGCAAAACTTACAGGATATATATTCTGTTGAAGTGTTTACTAGTTGTTTGTTTGGTCGGTATGCTTGTTAGTATGGGTACACTTACAAGTTCTGCAAGATTACATAAACAGCGTTAGCTTGAAGGAAGGTTTGTTTGCTGTAAGGTGATGGCATTTGTTCTTTTTCTTAGTTCTGGCCTCAAATTTTATCAGAATGATTCTAACATTTTACACTTCCATCTGAGCGTTGTTCAGATTTATGGAAATAATGCCCCCGGTATTTTCTCGGGATGCTGGGGGTTGTGCATGGCAAATGATTTGGGATGCTTGGTGCTAATGAATTTGCATGCAGAAAATAACTAAAAGAATTAAACAGTTAAAGAAAAATTACATATATTCATCAAGAAACGAAATTACATAGTGTCAAAATTTTGGTACAAATATTCAATGTTTCATCTCCTTGATACAAATTAATATTGAGTCATCTCCTCTAATATTTATGATAATTGAGCCGATGATCAATGGCCCATTAACTCATCCACAAACGAATTGTTGGAGAAGCGGTTGATGTCTTCTTCTAAAGGTTGGTAATTGCCCAGATTCTGGAAATGACTTGGATTACAATAAGCTTCCATTTCTCCTCCATTGGTTGATTCAGCACCGACCTCAGAAGTTGGAAATGGCACTTGGCTTTCATCTGTAGCAGCAATCTGTGGCGTTTGTGGCAATGGCCATTCCCCGGCTAGGTCTGGAAATAATTCGTCCATGTAGTCGTCAATGGTCGGAGAATTGATCAAGTACCCTTCTTCATCACTATCACCCAAGAATATCAGAGTGTCATGAGGACAGTAATCAGTGTTGTTTAGCAACTGATCCTGATGTTCATCAGAATTATTGTTGCCCATGTGATTATCATTCACCAAATTACTTGGCTCACAAGCTTCTATTACACCATCAACAGAGTCGGCACCGACCGGAGAAGCTGGCAAGGGCACATGATTTTGATCAGCAATCTGTGGCAGATCTGGCAGTGGCCATTCCATGTCACTGAAAATCATCTTAGTATCATCAAGAGTGTTAATATCATCAAAAGTAATAATATCATTGATCATCATGGTATTATCATCAGGGAAGTAATTACTGTTTATGAACTGATCATCATGATTATTATGAGTCAACTGGTTATTACCTTTCTCATCATCAGAGACCACGAGAGTAGTAGGAGAGCGGTATTTTTGTGGTTCCAGATTCATATTTTCTTGTGATCCCATTTCTTGCTCATCTTTTTTCACTTTTTTGCCTTTTGTTGTAAGACTGGGCTTGGGCTTGGTGAGCATCTTCTTCTTTGGATATTGATGTTCTGATAATGATGAGGAACACTTTCTCTTGTTTCCGAACAACCTCTCATTCTTTCTCAGCCGACAAATCACATAATCGAAAGCGCAACCCTCATCAGAAAGACTATATTCCTCTAAAAACCACCCACTGTGTTCCTCGGACCCTTCATTCTCGTAGCGGAATTTTCGTTTATGTCCGATTTCATTCCCCTCTTCATCATAAACAGCATCACAACGTTCGCCACTCCAAGTCCCTCCTCCGAGCCCAACCTTGCGGTTGATTTTTCGGGAACCCGCCTTGGAGGATAACGTGTTGAGTTCGGAGAAGAAATACAATTCTTGATCATGGGGATGGAGTTGCTCTCCTCCAAAGCCGTTCCAAATCTCGGAGGGTTCGAACTCGGTGCCGAAAATGTTGAACTTCCGGATAATGGCGTCGTACGTTGCCATTAGAGCCTTTTTCTCTACAACCATCTTGTAGAGAAAGAGAGTGATGAGTTCTTGGTCTGTGGGGCGGAAGCGGAAGCCGACACGATCATCGGAGTCGGCCATATCCTTAATTATCAACAACAATATAGAACCCTAGGTTCTACGAGATGGATGAGAATATAGAGAATAGGAAAGCAAAGCTGAACTAGGGTTTCAATTTGAGATGTGGAGTTGTTTCCTTATCAGATGTGGAGAAACTTAGAAGAGAGAGACCTTATATTTATAGTCAGAGTGAGTCAACTGATTGTTTGCTTATCATATATGGAATCAATCAGATCCCAAATGCATTCATTACAATTCTCGGATTGGAGGATTTCGAAACTACTTTGCCACAAATTAAGGAAAAGTAAAATTAGCCGTTGGGAGTATCAATGTTTGTCCGCACCACACCCTCTGTTCCACTTCCAGTGGTGGCTCTTGACTCTTGAGATTCGCATATCGGTTCGGGTCGGGTCGGGATTTGGAGCCTAATTGGTAGTCGTTAACGATGCCGTGTTCGGTTTTTTTGTTTTGCTCTGTAAATAGTTTGGATGTGTCAGAATTTAGTAACTAAAACGAAAACTGGATTTGGAAAAAGACAAAAAAGGTTCGTGGTTTGTTTTCGTGTAGTTTATTATTAATTAGGAGTGAATATGAGTTGATAATTAATAAATAAGTTTGTTTTTTTTTTTTTTTTTTTGTGTTGAGTTTATTTATGTGTATAAATTTGTGTTGTTTATTATGTGTATAGAAACATTCTGCTATGGGAATTACTGCTTAATGATAAATAATCAGTGGTAAGAGCATTCACAATGATACTCTCTATTTCTTAGCTAAAATTTGACTAAGAATATAAAAAAGTTATTTTAGAAACTCTCTAAAAAATTCCAACTCCAACCATACTCCATAATTTGGAGAGTCATAAATGCTATAACTCTTTTTTAATTGGCCCATCTATATTAAAAAATAAAATAAAAAATAGTTAGCATTAAATAAAGGTTTTAAATACTCATTAAATAAAGCAGCATTAAATTATAGGGAGCCACAATGAGTCCTTTCTCTCTCTCCTCAGATTTAGAGTTCCTAGAGAACTCCTATTTTATGAGGTGGATAGGGAGCGTGGTTGGAGTTGTATTTTTACCATTCCTCCCTAAAATTTGTTTAAGGAGGTGGTTTAAGGAGCCCATTGTGGATACTCTAATAGATTAGTCTTGTAATTGCATATAATTATAGGCACAAACAACAATAAGTTTTTTTATTTTATATACATGATATTAGGGAAGGGGGTTTTCTCACATGTACTTTCAAAGTGTCTTGAAGGTTGGGTTCAATCTTGAGATCTAGTCTGTAATTCAAAGTCATTTCTACTAGGCTAGAGTCCATTGACACAACAAATAAGTTGTTATAATGGACAATTTTTAGCAAATTATAAAATAATAAAAAACAGATAAAACAATATCAATGTTTCAAATAAGCCACTGATATATGATCTTCTCTAGGCCAGTCCCCTCTTGAGAAAATAATTTAGGAATGACTTTGCAATGCATTATTATTATTATTATTATTATTAATGGGTCAAGACTTTGCACTGTATTTGTTATTGTGGATTGAAGATATAATTAGGGGTGGGTACGGTTCGATTCGGTTCGATTTTCACTTCCAATTGGAACCGAAAATTGGTACTATGTAATCGATCTAGTTCGGTCCAATTCAAGCAAAAATATAAATATAAAAATGGATTGGTTTGGTTTTGCTATGTTTCGGTTCGGTTCTGACCAGTTTCAATTTTGAACCGAATTATTAATTTATTATTATTTTTAAAATAAAATTATAATAAATAATTTATTTTTTGGGTTGAAAATTAACAAATGATCCAATTCATACAATGAGATATATTTTGAAGTTGAACTTGGAAAAATATTAATTACAAAATTAAAAATATAGCATTAGATTTAAAAAATTTGTAAAAATAAAAATACAACCGATCTGGTCCGAATTGGTGCTGTGTGAAACTGAAGCCAAAACCGATTGGAACCAGTTTGATCCAATTCTGGTCCGATTTGTTGACTTTTTGGTCAATTGACTTGTTTTTTGGTTTTTTTTTCAACCGATCCGATTCTATGTTCCGGTTTCCAGTCCCAATATCCACCCCTAGATATGATCAGATAACCATGCCTTTGTTTTTATTTTATTTTTATACAATACCCATTTTCTCTTGCATATCTTTAAATCGTGTGTGAGTAGAAAGAGCAAAAAGAATATGTGTTAACCACAGAAAAAAAGCAAAAAGAATGTTCTCTTAGAATTGAATAGATACATGTGTTTTAAAACTCTTTGATTATTGTTAGCTGCTGCTTCTAGTGCTCCATCAACACAAGCCTCAACTCTTTCTCTTGTTCCGTGAAGATGACCTCTCATTCCTTCTCAACCACCAAAATCACAAAATCAAAACCGTAAATATGAGTACTAGTGTTAGATAGAGCATCTCTAGAAGAGTCTCCAAATTTTAGCCAAATTCTAGCTAAAATAGCTAAAAAGTTATTATAGCAAACCACTTAAAAGGTGTTTCCTCCAACAATGTTCTCTATTTTGGCTAATATGAAATATTTTATTATTATTTTATCTTTATCTTTCTCCCGCTTTCTCTTGCAAATCAAATATATTAAAAAGAAAAGTAGAAACCCAACCCCACCAACTGCCCAAATGTATCTATCTCTCTCCCCCTTTTTCTCTCTCCTTCTAGCCAAATTCTCTCTCCTCCTTGCTAGATGTAGAAAGCTAAAAGTTGGTTCTCCAAAATAGAGAACTAAGTAGGGAGTCTGTTGGAATGATGATTTTCCTTCTTTTTAGCTAAAGTAGTTAGGGATGAGAGGATAGAGAGTCTACTGGAGATGCTCCTGGAAAAAAGAATAACAAGACTCTTGAAAAAAAGAATAATAATACTTTGTCTTGGGTTTTCATAATAGTAATATTGTAGATATTTGGCACTAGCTAGTCTGGAGATCAGAATGTTTAAGCTCTGTGTTTGGAACACCATTAACCAAAATTGATTATAACTAGCTACCAAGAACTTTTTATGGTGCAAGTTAAAAGAAAATCCAAACATACAAAATTAGGAGTACTGATGTGATGATTCTTGGAGGCCTTTTCATCATTATTATCATGTAGATGAACTAGGAGCACTTGTGTTATTAGCTTCCATATATTGATGATCTTAGAACCCTAAATTTGAATAATGAAAACCGTACCACATCATTTGATTAATTTAGTAGTAACCACCAACTTTTTTTTTTTGGCCAGTCTGTTCTAAGATAGATTCGAGGTTCTTTTCATTCATATCTTACTTTTGTTCGATTTTAGAGCATAATGAATGAGAAAAGAACCCCAATACAACATTTTCAAAGGTACTGTTAAATAAAAGTTTGTAGAAAGTTCTGATTCCTACACTTTATTTTAATAATTAACAATTATCGGTCATGATATTTAAATTTAGGATCTCCAACGAAGTTGCTACTCAATCAAATGAATGATTGCCGTTTTAATTCGTACCCTATCTCGATCATCTTTACCTGAATAGCATAAGTAATCTAGCAAGCATATCTGATCCTACAAGACTGGCTTAGAATTCAAAAGATCGACGTTTGTTCTGTGCATAAATACATATAAAATGTTATGGCTCTCACATTTCCAAAAATGGATGAAGTTTAAGATTACAAGGGTGGGATGAGGGTTTGTTCCATTATGCCTGGTGGGTGCTATAAAAAGGCGACAAAACAATGGGCCAATTTTTTATTTTTATTTTTTTAAAATTTGGAGTGAGACTAAAGTTTTCTTCTTTCACCAAACACTAATTGAGGTTGAGGGCGCCAAACCATTTGCTTGCATTTGCAGAAACCCCACCCTCATAAAAGAAACGTTTCACCTCACCTTCCTGGCTTGTGTACTAAGACTTATTTCATATTAAAATGATAGTTACGGTGTGCAAACAAGTTTATGAAAGAATATCAAATTGGACTAAAACACCCTTTCCTCACACCAAATATAAGGATCACTGACTGACTAAGGTGGTGCAGCATCAATTGTTGACCCAAAAATGTCAAAGAAGAATAGACCATGGTAGATTGTGAATTTACATCATGCCGACACTGCACAACTCAATTAAAGAGCAAAGGTGGATTTTTATTCTAACTATATTTTGCCCACCAAGTTGCTATTTAATTTAGTGATATTTCGTAGACAAATATTGAAAGAAGTTCTGAGTTCAAAATTTACCATCGCGTTAATGAAAAAGATATTATACTTGTACAAAATCACTTATCACTAACCAAGAACGCAGTGGCTCCAATTCATGTGACTTGAGCTAAAACTCATCATCATGGTATATGTGAAAAAGTATATACATAAGAAATAAATTAAACAAATGGTGAACAAAATTTATGGGAAAAAAAAGGAAGTGGGAAGGGGCGTTTTTGGTAATTTAAATTGATATGAGGTTGTAGCGTACCATCTTAACGGTCACTTGAATTTGACTGTCTTGTTGCAAAGTTTGCTTGTAGTTGCCGTTAACTTGCTTCTGGAAAATCAGGAAGGGAGCCACGTCGTGATAAATAAAAAAAGATCCAAACAAAACAATCTCTAAAAATTAACGCCGTTTGGCACCAACCACAAAAACAACCTAAAATAAAAGGGGCGCAAAAGCCTTACATTCTCATACAAGCCAAGCCAATCATAATCACCACACTATTCTCTTTATCTTAGCTCTCTTCCTCCCTGAGTTTTCAGAACTCAAAACTTGGTCCATCTTTTGTTCTCTCATATATTTCCAACTCCGATCAGTTTTGAAGCCACAATTTGCTTCAAACTTGCCGGTTGGAGCTGGTGGCGATTGCATGGAGTTGTAGCACATTTTGATCATCAAGAAGTTGATCATTTCTTGGTGAGGTTTCAGGGCTGCTAAACTCCCAACTGGGTTTTTCCATTTCATTGAAAAGGTACTTCCCATATATCTCTTTTTTCTTTATTTTTAATCTTTTTATCGATTTTAATCGTAGAGTATGTATATATAACAGTCAATGGAGAAACTCGTACGTGCATACGATCGTATATTTTTCGTATGATAACATTAGTTCTACATGTTGCTTCATGACTTGCATGGGGTGGAGAGGGTGGAGGGTTAGGAATGATAGAAAAAAAAAACGATTTTGTATTTTGTATGTACAAAAAAAGATATGAGTCATAAGCAAAAATTAAGAAACGCCGCACATTGAAACCTTGATCAAATGCCTAGAGCTCAGACACTTCTAAGCCATTCAGAATGGAGATTCAAGGGTTATTAGTAGGACAAAAACTTACAACATGTAAGCTGGCAACGTTATGTTATATATTATATATGACAAGTCTTATTAATACTTTCAAATTTTTTTATCACTAGTTATCTAATTTTTATTTGGAAGTAGCATTTGGCATGGCTTGTACAAAATATATTCTATTAATCTTTTTTTGTTTTCTTCTTGATAGAAAATATATCACTGAAGATCATCATGGGAGAAATGACTGGCTTCCAATTGGGAGTCATTGGTGCACTGTTTCTTTCAGTTGCATCATCTGTCTCCATTGTTATATGCAACAAAGCTTTGATGAGCAATCTTGGCTTCCCATTTGGTAAGAAATTAATTTTGAAAATTCCTAAGATTAATTTCTATAACTTTTACTGGAATATTTATACACAAGTCTATATCATTTTTTTTCTTTTTTTGGTAGCAACAACACTTACCAGTTGGCATCTGATGGTAACTTTTTGCACTCTTCATGCGGCACAACGTCTCAATTTTTTCGAGAGTAAGTCGATTGACATGAAGACTGTCATGCTCTTTGGCATTCTAAATGGTATTTCAATTGGTTTACTCAACTTGAGCCTGGGATTCAATTCCATTGGGTTCTACCAGGTAATTATTTATCTCAATTTATTATTTGTTCATTTGGAAAATGAGACAACTTTCACGTAAAAACTCTTTCCACTTTTCTAATACTGGGCCAGTAAATATAGTACATGCAACGTCTCACATCGTGTCATATGTTCTACGCAATTGTATAACATCTTGGATTCTTATTTTTTTTGCAGATGACCAAGCTTGCAATTATACCATTCACTGTGTTATTGGAAACTCTTTTCCTTAAAAAGCAATTTAGGTAATGCTTCTTTAACTGTAAATTGCACAATATTTTAAAAATTAATATTGGTCAATAAATTCAGTAACCCTTTTCTTTTTTTTTCCTTTTTTTGGTCCTCTACTTCTTGCAGCCAGAAGATAAAGTTTTCTCTCTTCCTATTACTGGTTGGAGTTGGGATTGCTTCTGTGACAGACCTCCAGCTCAATTTTGTTGGGACCATTCTCTCTCTTCTAGCCATCATAACAACCTGTGTTGGCCAAATTGTATCCTTCCTTATTTTATTTTATTAATTTACACTTAATTTATTTTCCAACTACCTTCTGTTTTCAAGTCTCTTTTGGGTAGGTAATTTGGCACAGTTTCTGTACAAGAGGTTGGTCCTTAACTAAGCTTCCAATTCAGCTAACAAACACAATTCAGAAAAGGCTCAATGTATCTTCTACGCAGCTACTCTACCAGTCCGCCCCTTTTCAAGCAGCTATTCTTTTTGTGTCAGGCCCTTTGGTGGACCAGTTCCTCACCAAGCAAAATGTCTTTGCCCATAAATACTCTTCCATAGTCTTGGTATAATCTCCCTTTCTTCATCTATTACTTCATTAATATATCATACATATGGGTAATGTTCTCTAGTCAAACGGTATTGTAGTACATGGCATGTTATGCTCTCAAATTATCACCATTTTGACCCTACATTTGATCAAACATCTACATAATTAATGGTATTGATTGATCAACAAGAAAAAATTTCACATCTACACAATGTTCTCTTATCAGACAGTCTGACATGTTATGTTGTCAAACCGTGAATCTGTATCATTAATCATGTGACTTCTTGTTCAATGCATGTGTCACTTAAGATTAACAATCTGCAATTTTCACAAAAACAGAAAAGTTGGCAATCTAACAACATAACATGTTAAATACCTAAAAGTTGGCATATTATTATATGCCTCATAGCTGCGTATATTACATGCTATTGTCATATGGTACATATGTGAATGTGATTCAATCTTTCAAGCAACTGTATATGTGCAGGTATTCATCATACTTTCATGCCTCATAGCGGTGTCTGTGAACTTCAGCACCTTTCTAGTAATTGGCAAGACATCCCCTGTCACATATCAAGTTCTAGGCCACCTCAAGACATGCCTTGTTCTGGGCTTTGGCTACACATTACTTCATGACCCTTTCACTTACAGGAACATAATTGGAATTCTGGTTGCCATTTTTGGGATGGGATTGTATTCATATTTCTGCTTACAGGAGAACAAAAAGAAGCAAGCCGGTGACCTCTCTCTGGGCTCCCAGACTAAAGATAAGGATGGCATTCCACTTTTGAGTATAGATAAAGATGGTCATGAGGTTAAGAAATCAACCAAGAACTCTCTTGTTTGATTGATAGGGAACTTTTGATCATGGTTTCGTCTTTCATGTGTTCATTACACTCTGAATTTTCAGTCTTTAAGACATTTTGATGGGTGTAAATGTTTTTCATTCTTTTTTTTTTAGAGGTGGAAGGGAGAAAGACTCAAATCTTCTTGTGGGTGTAAGGGTAAAGTGCTCTACTATTAGAGTCAGAAATCCCACAAAATGTTTTTTATTCTTTGAATTAATAAATATGCCATTTTCAAATTCAATTATGAAGCCCTTTTTTTTATTTATAATTATTTTTTTAATATAACTTTATAGAGATATGGGTACTTGCCTAATTGAAGCCTTTTATATATTGGGCTGGTCTACTATGTAATTGGGCTCGGACTCTTCATAAAATGGACTAATTTGTGAATACACAAATTGGCCCATTGATTGTATCTTGCTCCAAGGGTAACCCAAAACCATTTGAGGCTCAGCATTGCCCAGCTCTTGCGCCTATGTTGAGGGGTTACAGAGGTTCAATCCAACAGTCCAATAATAGCTTTGCACTTAATCAAACGGCTATTAAGGACCTCCTCATTATAACCCCTCATTTTTAGCCTCCATGTGCTAGAAGAGGTATTTCGAATTTGATTTTAATAGAGTAAATATAAAAGAATTTAATAAAAGGAAAGTTGTGCAGCCTAATTATTGCAGCAAAACCCAAAAAAAAAAAACTCAACTTTATCAAAGTATTGATGATACAACATGTCGGCCGTTGGTTTAGGGTTCATGAAAGTTATAGCAAAAAAAAAATGCAATTTTAAAAGTTCAAAATATCTTTATGTTAACTAATATAAGACATTTTTTTGAAGTGTAAAGATACAAAAAAGTGCAAAGGGTGGATGATTTTTTTCAAGTGTAAATAGAAGCTCTCCATGTTTAAACAAATTCAAGCTTTTATACTGTCTATTTAATAATTATATTACTATTATATTTTTATCACAAATGAGTGGATAACACATGTATCGATATATTAATTCTATACTCGAGATTCATAACATATCAACTATGATGTCTACCTATATTATAATACATGAATTAGTAGCATTAGGTGATGGTGCAACAGTCACACCTTAAAAAATTTCTAAAGGTTAATGAAAAATGAAATACTACTATACTAAGTGTCATGCGATTAAAAAAATCAAATGTCGTGCATATTAGTGTCATAATTCATTAATATATGTCTTAACTCTAACTAAACCCGAATTGATAACTCCATAAATTGCAACATATGTGTTATTAATGTATTAATATGTCACAATGTATTACCATCATATACAATAATTTTCCTTAAAAAGAAACTGATTATTATTATTTTTCTTTAAAGTAGCACGGCACAATGCTAACTTATTGGGTGCCCCAAAGTTGCCAATGTTGTTGAAACTCATCACATTATTGTGTAATATTTCTGTATTATTACAGTTGACCCAATTCGGGAAATCATGGCGTGTACACAAAAACGAAGACCTTTGCTTTCCCTAAAACATCAAGCCTGCTCTCTCTCTATCCGTGTAGCCAGCTTTCTCCTCATCTCTGTCATATGACCTTCTGTCTTTTTTCTCCTCATCAAGCCTGCCCTCTCTATCCATGTACCCATTCACGTTGCGAACATTTTTCAGACATTAATGATTATTTGTCAACATGCCAGCCAAGATAAAAACACAATGGATTTTGGAGGTATGGAAGAACATTAATGGCAAAAAGAAGCTCCAAAAGTTAGTTGGCATGCAATTGTTGCTAGATGTATGGGCTTGACAGGCTTTGAGCTATTGAATTTGATGTCATGTTCTCAAGAAGATTGCATATGCCATTGAATTTGATGTTGTGTTCTCAACAACTCATAAATTCATAACTCGAGATATTATTTTTTAGACGCTAATTAATGTGGCAGTGTTTCACGATCTTTATTTATTCACGGCAAATAAAAAACTAATACATACCTTAATTTGTATCTAAAAGTTGGTATCTCCTCTAGCATTATTGATCCATAATTGATTAAACCAATTAAATAGCAAGGCTTTATCATCAAAATTCATAACCTAGCAGTAATGACAAAATGATGTTAGCGTATGCACCAATGCAACATCTATCATGGAAATTAGCTGTGCACAGCTAGTACAGCGCCTACCACAGCTCAATTACAAAGCCATTACAATGGCTACTTGCACAGGTTCAAAAGGCTAGCTATTTTATAAGAGGGAACAAAATTCTTGCATACAACATCCGTCTACTGACATTCTAGGAAATGAATAATATGTACATTTATAGCATCTTCAACAGTAGTAATAAATAAAACTCTTTAAATTGAAGTTTGTTGACCTACATGGCAATTTAAAACGCCTTATTTGCTACTTGAATAATTTTTGCTCTAATAGATTCTTCAATTCAATTAATGCAATATCATAAAAAAGAATGAAAAATATGAAAACATGTGAAAAATGTCTATGTATTTATTATATGAAATAGAAAAAACTGCATGTTTTTAACATTTTCAAGGTAGGTTTTGTTTTTCCAAAATAAAATTAAATGTTTGAAGAGCCAAGTCAACTTACCAGTCCTAAAGAGAGAGAAAGAGTTACAACTTTGATGACGGAGGTTAAAGAGGATGTTGGAGAGAGTTCTTCTGATGTGGTTCATCTATTCTAAATTTCAAAGCTGTTGAAGAGGTTGTTGGAGATGTTCTCATTGTATGCGCAATAATTTCTTCATTGAAAAGAGCGTGTATACCTAACTTACAAAGCGTAAATTTTCATTGTATAATTGTTATTCGTTATCTCGCATGTATACATGCGAGAGTGAATGGTACATACTTAGAGAGGTAGCAGCACCTAAAGCTAGCTTCACCTTTTGTTAAAGGACTTTGAGCATGAGAGAGGTAAATAAGAGAGAGCTTTAGGTCGTTGTTAATATTTATACATGCAATGCAGCTGTATATAAAGATCTGAAGTGGTCCTTTAACACTTTAAAGGAAACAGTTTGAATTTGGAATAATTGATGCATGCAATTTTAATGTCTTTTTTGGTCGGCTGCAGATTTCATGTTGTTTCCTTTTGCATGCATATCATCTTTTGCGACCAAAAGAAGTTGATGGTGGACGATGAGTTTGATTGTACATGCATGCGAAGCAACAATTTCATAGCTTTTCAAATGCGGAAGATGATGTAGAAAAGAAAAGTGCTCTGTAATTATTTTTCTGAAAAAGACTAAATTGCCTATGTCTCTCCTTGCTATCTCTATGGTAAAAGGAGAATATGAGAGAGAGGTGTTTGTCGTTTTCATAGAACTAGCAAAATAGAATTTGGAGAAATTTATTTTGGTGTTTTCCGAAATGGGCTGGCTTTTTCTGCATCTGCATGCTTAAATCATATAAAGCCACCCTCTAAAAACGAAAAACGATTGGCCAAGCAAAAACAAATTGAATGAACGTATAGCGTGCCTTCTAATTTAAATGATCGAACAGAAAGTAAAGAATAGTTCTCATACTTTTGTGCTGTCTTTGCAATAAAATAAAAAAAAGGTTAAAATCAACTAACTTTTAGTTTAATGATATTCCTATTTTTAATTCTCTAAAGAAAAATGATATTTCGATTCTCAGTTCTCTAAAAAAAAATGATATTTCTATTTTCAATGTTAGAAAAATTTTGAGCTCTATTCACACAAAAAAGAAGAGAATGTTATACAGTACATTCCGAAGCCTTTACCTTTTTTTTTTCCCAAGGCTCAATTTGGCATCTTTCCAATTTTCTTTTTTCCTTCATCTATGGTGCGTGTTTGAATTTTTATTTTATTTGAGTGGCATTATTTCCACCCACCATTCATATTTTCCAACCTTCCAATTTTACAAAGTTTTTACAAATAAACTCATTTTAGAATTGTTAGCTGATGTTACTATTGACACGTGTCCTTGCTAAGGTGGCAAGTTTGTTAGCTCTTCACGTGCTTATTAGTGTGATTAGTTAGTCTGTTAAGCAAATTAGCTTAGTAAAGAAGTCATCGTTACACAGCTATATAAGCTTGGGTCTAGTTCATTTCATCATTATGTAAAAATACAATTTTGAGAATATACATAGTTTTACTTTTCTCTCTTTCTTCATCACTTCTTCCTCTCCGTAGTCAACAGCATGACTTATTATACAAAGGTCCATATAAACCCTATTTGAAGAGAAAAATCCAAAACTAGCAACTTGTAAATTTCTAATTGGTTCTCGGAAAATTTTAACACACTAAGAACCAATTAGAAAATGACAAGTGTTTAGTTTTAGGTTTCTCTCCAAATAGGCTTTATAAGAGGTTTTGTATAATATATCATGTTAGAATGGATCTATTTATGAAATGCCCAATTCAAATGCTAATCTATTCAATTCACCCTCCTTTGTTCCCAAACTGCCCCCTACCTCTTCTCATTCCTTTTTACTTTTTCCTTACCCCAACTTAACCGTAACCCGAATATATCAAAAAATTAAAAAAGCTAACAATTGCTTAAAAAAGTCAAGTTCTTGATTGAATCACTCTAAAAATGTTTTTTTTAATAAATAAAATTGCCTTTTCATTTATAGCCTCATTCTAACATGACATTTTATGCAAAATTAGTTATTAAGAAATTGTAACACAATAAGAATAAATTAGAAAATGACAAATGGCTATTTGTGGGTTTTTCTCTCCAAATAGACTGTAAATTTTTTTGCATAAAATGTCATATTAAAATGGGCCTATTTATAAAATGCTAAAATAATAATAATAATAATAATAATAATAATAATAATAATAATAATAATAATAATAATATGTTAATCTGTCTATATGCATCTTCACACATCACTTGCATATTTATCATTAAAGCCGTATGTTTCAAATTCGGAGCAATCACATTGACATCAACATAGATAAACTTTTCACAGAAATTACTAGCAGCCGTTGGTTTTAATTTGATTAGGTATTCATATTCTGAATAATTATTTGAACAAGTTCTGAAATTGATAAATTTCAACCTTTATATAATATTATTCATTTAATTATATGTGGCTTTGAAAGATTAACACAATTTTCGAGATAATTGGAAAATTATGTGTGGGTTTGTGTTTTGTTGTTCTGTTTTAATACGCATTCCTTATCCAGAAATCTTACCTAACAAAGAAAAACGGGTTCAGATTGAAAACAAAGTCATACATATTGACGTTGTTTTCTTAAGGTAACGGATAAAGGCAGGTTTTAAGCAACTGATTTCACTGATATCTTTAGCTAAAATCTTTAACAAATGACATATCCATTAAAAAAAATTATTTTTTATTTTACAAATGCTGCCAAAGTTAATTTGTTTTGCTTAAACATATTTATAATTGGTGCAATAACCGAATTTAGTATAAACGGATTGATTTATTTAGAATAAACAAATTGATGTAACAAATGTGAGTTAGACTATTGCTTGTATTTTAAAAGAAAATTGATGTACGTATATTGGTCTGTTGTAGATTTTCCAAGACTCCAACATCATTGGTGACGCAAAGGCAACCTCACCCTAATCCACGAGAAAACAACAGAGAGAAGTAACTTCGTTTTTGAATGAGGTAAAGAAAACAAACTTATTTAAATTTGATCCACAACATAATTACGGTCAAAATCAAGAGATTCGTTTCATAGGTTAAAATCTATGCTTAACTTTTTTCTTCTTCTTCTTTTTCCTTTGTGCACCTTTTTTTTTTTTTTTTTCTCTTTTCTCTTTCGTGACAATATGAAAATATTATTGCTGACATTGCTTTTATACAATATTAGTAACTTACGTAATCTTTTATCATCAAAATTAAATAAAGGCTAGAGTTAATTTTATGATTTTATTTCTCTCACTTGATCTCCTTTCTTGCTTTTCAAAAGTCAATAATACTATACATTCCCTTTGTAACTTTCTCTTTTACCTTCTTCCTTCTTCCCGTACTGCAATGATGTATGATAATTGAAACTGTTCATTTTTGAAACATCATTTAAGAATTGTTCCTTAAAATAATCAACCAAGTTGAAAATCATTTAGTCATTTCATTAACAATGTGATAATTATGTATTTTATCAAAATATTAGGTCCGCCTCTATTTATCTAATAACAATTATTATGACTAAACAATTTCCTATTTGATTGATTTTATTGAGTGAGATGGTCTTTTAATGGTGTTCTAGAATACAGACTATTTTGATCATCAAATCACATTGCAAGACGAAAGCGGAACAATAGAAGGTAAAAGAGGAAGGTATAAAGAAGAATGTAGGTAGCATTCCCCTAAAAATAAATTTTGCCAATGTGAAATATAAAAGGAGTACATAAATTTTAAGAAACCTCTTTAGAAAAATATAAGTTATTGGAGTAAGGCTTTACTCCGTTGTACTCTTTCTAGTAGTAACAACAATTTTTTGTCCCCATAGCTGATTATGTTTGATGTTTCAACATTAGACATCTTTCTATTTTATACACTAATCTGATACACAAGAAAAGTATCAGAGTCAGTTAATTTTTAATTTACGAATGATGGGTTCAATTCAAAGTCCATTCAACTCAAGGGTAAAACAGTAATTTCGGCATAGTATTATTTGCCTGGCAATCTTTGTCTCTTATATGCACTCATTCAGTTGCTTTAACAGAGAGAAACAGAGAGAGAGGGAGGGAATCCCACCTACAATTCCAAAGATGAACGCCATGATTCTCTGTATTCAATAGCTGGGTGGGTTGAGTTCAGAGGATCGCCATTCCGCTATCTCATCCGCGTTTCAATCTTTATTTCCACTCTGCCATTAGAAGGAACCAAGGGGTACGAGCCACACATATAATCGGGGCCCAGCTATGCATGGATGTTGAGGTACTGAGAAGTGAGCGAATTACAGAAGTGGGTTTGTTGATAATAGAGGTTTTGCGAAATGGGTATGTCGCAAACTGATCAAAGAATGGAGGGTTGGCTTTATCTCGTTCGTTCTAATCGGATTGGGCTACAGTACTCGCGCAAACGCTACTTTGTTCTTGAAGGTCACCTTCTCAAAAGCTTCAAATCAGTTCCTGTTTCTAACAATGAGGTTCATGCTCTACTGCCTCTCCATTTTTGTTCATTTCAATGAGCTAATGCTGCTTTCCAGAAAAATAAATAACTAAAAACAGTAAATCACTGATGAAATTTATTTGGAAGTCTGTTTTTCTTTCCCCCTTTTTGAAGTAATTGGGTGAGTTTTGGGGTTTGAGAATTTATTTGATTTCTTATATGGTAATTATATTAGTAAAATGGTATCAGAGGTTTGCTTATTGAGTTTCTGGGATGCATTGTTTGGAAGTTTTTTTATTGATCCATCAAAATGATGTATCTTTCTCACTTTTGTTGAAGAATGATCTGCATTTTTCTTTAATTTCCATTGGATCATTATCTTTGTATTGATAGTGGGAAAACTTCCCTCCAAATTGTTGTTTCGAATGTGTGTGTGCGTGTGCCTATAGTGTGTACGTGTGCCTATAGTGTGTACACATACCGAAAACTGCTTTAGAATGAGCAAGATGCTTGCGCAGTTGATTATATGAGCATCCGAGATAGTTGAAGAGTGTTAAATGTATGTACATCTTGGGAGGGCTTCAAACTGTGAGGATAATAGTGATTATTTGAGTTTCTTATTCCATTAACTACTTTAACGAAGAAACTTTTGAGGATGGCATATATTGAATCTACATTTCAGTTTTCCAAATGTTACCTTGTGGGTTAATTACAGCTTGTTTGATGTAGTAACTAGTAGGATTGCTAGTTTCCCTTTGGTCCCCTCACCAAATTTTTTACATCTCATTTGTAACTATGGATATATTTAGAAAAAAAACCTATATAAGTTTTGTTTTTCATTACGAGGAAAATATCTTCCTGTAAAAGATTGGACTGAAAATCCTAAAGTGAGAAGAAAAATCTATAGAATCTTGCAGGACCTTGTCTAAGGTAAATGTGTCACTTTTGTGGTTGGCTCAGTTGCTTTTTCCTTTTTCTTTCCTTGTAAATGCTTTTTTCAATAATCATGGCTTGCAGAAGTTGGAGATGTCCTTGTTTGAAATTGGCCGTTTGAATCCTACTTTTAGAAATTTGTGCAAAAAATTATTTTGTATTATGGTTTTATCCTTTCATTCTTTTTTTTTTTTTTTTTTTTTTTTTTTTTTTTTTTTTTTGTTGAGTTTGAGTTTTTCATTTATCCACCATCTTTTGTTCTTTAGCACAAGTTATGTCCATAATTAATTCAAGAAACATGAATAACTAGTGTCTTTGATTATTTTATTTTAACACAAGCTGAATGAGGAACCTTGAGTAATTATTTGGCTTACAAACATTCTGAGTGGCAACTTTGTTTCTGTCACTTTATTTACAGATTACAACGCTATTAGGTAGGTATAAGTACAAATAAGAACCTTAATGTTTTCTTCCTTTTCTGTGTATCAGGATCCTGTAAGAAGCGCTATCATAGACTCTTGCATTCGAGTGACAGACAATGGACGTGAGAGCATTCAAAGAAAAGTATTGAATTGTTATAGAGTGTCCTACTTCAGCAATGTACCAGTTTATTCATGTTTTCTGATTTTAGTGGCTGTGATATGTATTTAGTAACTGTTGTTTGTGCAACTTGTAGGTATTCTTCATATTCACACTGTATAATACGTCAAATCACAACGATCAACTTAAGGTGTGGTAACTATTTCCTCAAAAATTTGTTTCTGTTACAGGTTAATGTCAAAATAACGTAACTTTATTTTCATAGTTGGGAGCAAGCAGTCCAGAAGAAGCAGCAAGATGGATTCATTCCTTTCAGGAAGTGGCTTTAAAGGTCTAAAATGCTCAGTTTTCTCAATCTATTCCAGACGGTTATGCTAAATATGAATTTAATGCCTATGCATATGTGCAGGGTGGTCCAGATCTTGGGGATAATTTTGTGGATTGTTCCAATAACATATGGCAGTCCTTTAGGTATATTGGCGTGAATTTTTTAAATTTGGAAGTAACTTTGTTTAATAATGCTTGGCAGCTTGGGTAATATACTGGTTGTGGGTTATGGTTTATGTTTGTGGCTCTGATATGATTCTTTATTCTTGTTTCTATTATTGTATGGGTACATAAAAGTATTCATGCACGCAGATTAGGTGGATCTAGTAGGAGAAGTCGAATCAATTCTATAGACTGGAGTCTTTGTTCTTCTACACAAACAGATGCTGTGACATCTGATGTAATTGCTCCTTCACCTTGGACAATCTTTGGTTGTCAGAATGGTGAGAGTTATTCCTACTTTGTGCATTTTGAGGAGGTTATGAAACCGCGTGTTGAACTTTGTTGCTATTATGCAGGTCTACGACTATTTAAAGAAGCCAAAGATAGGGATTCTCATGGGAAGGTTGGTAGGTTTAATTTTGACCATCTAATTGGTTGTAAGAAAGGCATTTGTATTATTGACTATGTTCCTATCATGAGCAGTGGGACGATCATCCTGCGATCATGGCTGTGGGTGTGGTTGATGGAACTTCCGAAGCCATTTTCCAGACACTTATGTCCCTTGGTCCCTCAAGATCAGAGTAAGTTTGCTGAGAACTTTATGTAGACTGTGGGAGTAGAAGGATGAAAAAGTTAAGCTAAAGAGAAGAAATCCTAGGATGATAGAGATCAAACTGAAACAATAATTGTTTGAAATTGCCAATGCTCAAAAACTGTCCAGCACAATGACAATGAGGTCTATTTATTGAGGCCATACAAATCCATATATGGAAACCCCAATACAAACCTAATATGGAAGTTCAAATTTTTTAATTAAATTCAACCATAAGTATGGTAATAGTAGAAACCCGAAGTTACCATACTATACCCTGCACTGTTGTGCAGAAAGTGTCTAGGCTACATCGTAACTCCTTAGCCTTCTATATTACCTGCATTCTGCCTTTTGTCTTGTATTTGCTCCTCTTGATGCATATCTGCATTACACTTGCATCCACATTATCTAAATTGTCATGTATGAAGCTTGTTTGTAACTAAAATTAACTTTGACAAATTCTGTTGTAGATGGGACTTTTGTTTCTATAAGGGCAATGTGGTCGAACACCTTGATGGTCATACTGATATCATTCACAAGCAGTTATATAGCGATTGGTTACCATGGTCAGGCCCTGGCCTATTATGATTTCGAATTATGTTCTGTGGCAGTTGTCTAAATATCTTTTGTATGGTTGTCTTATATTGTATCACATTTTGCAGGGGAATGAAGCGGAGAGATCTCTTGTTGCGGCGTTATTGGAGAAGAGAAGATGACGGAACATATGGTAGTATTGAAATGGAGGAAATTTTTTGTTTTTTATATTTGCATTTGATAGCAAATGTATTGATGCACAAACTGACTTCCTTTGGTTTCTTCTGTCACAGTTATTCTGTACCATTCTGTGTTTCATAAGAAGTGTCCACCTCAGAAAGGCTACGTCCGTGCCTGCCTTAAAAGTAATGTATGCTTAGAAATTGAAATTTTTATAAATCTCCTAGACCTTACAAGAAGTGTTTAATATAGGATAGTTTCTGTAGCTTGGACCTTTGATAATATGAGTAAAGTGCATCGGTGTATTAATTCGTTCTATGTAATTGCATGTGTGTGTGTGCCCACCAGAGTGTGTGTGCATGTGTTGGACTTGATGCAGCATCAGCATGGTAGAATTAGAACATTGGTGGCATGGCATACAATTTTCATGGTTGTGATGCCTCCAAAGTTGGCACAACTATATTTTCCTTGCACTGCCTGTTAAAGTAAATGCATGCAACTGCCTGTTTAACATTTAATCGTTAATTCTAGTGGTTATAGCTTATTGGATCTCTACTGCGGGAGGTGCATAAGTTGAAAGTTAATAACAGAAGATTTTGAGGAATTATCACTCTCTTGCAGGTGGAGGATATGTTATATCGCCTGTGAACCAAGGGAAACAATCAGTTGTGAAGCACATGCTTGCGATTGATTGGAAATTCTGGAAATCTTGTCTACAAACTTCTTCAGCTCGATCTATGACCATCAAAATGCTAGGGAGAGTTGCTGGTAGTCTTGTACTGTTGATTGATAGGGCTTTCTATGTATTTTTTTTTCTTCACATTATTTGACATCTACTCGGTCAATCAAAAGAATTTATTTTTACTTTTCATTTCTGTACTTGCAGCACTACGAGAATTGTTCAGAGCAAAACTAGGAAATTATTCTTCCTCAGAATTTTCATCTGGAGAACTAAGGAGAAATTTTAGGTTGCCTCAGAATGAAGGGGATGGTGAGGCTGATGTTCCAACACTAACGGGGAATGAGGGGACTAAGGAAAATATAGCTGAAGAAGTGGAAAAATCACCTTCTGAACATGCTAGTCTTATAAGCCTGAATGATGCTTCAGATGAATTCTTTGATGTTCCAGAACCACCATACAGCGATCAATCAGAAACTGACTGGACTCCTGATTTTGGCTCTGAAATGTACTCACAGGTAATGATGTGAGATTAAATTTGTCATATATATTGAAAATTATTTCACTTTTGTGCTCCATTAGGTGGTTGCATAACATAATTTACAGTAGACACTCCTAGAATTTTTCTAGTTACTGGGTGGTTCTTGTGGTTTCAACACAGCCCCCGGCCCTCCCTTTTTCCCTCCCCTTTCTCTCCCTCTCACATGCATGTATGTGTTTGTGTAAATCTCATGTGAGTGTATGCAGTTGTTTGTGTATTCATTCTTTCAATGTTTTAGCTTGGCTAAACTTTTATTGGGTTCCTCTATACACAGTTTCACATACTTCAGCCCACTACGCATTTGCATTGCACTTGTAGCAGAAATTTTGACCTGCTTAACTACAATTTTATAATTTATTGCTCATGCCTTTTTTTTGTTTAACTACTAAAAGTTTAACATTGTAGCCTTTTATTTATTTATTTATATTTTAAAAAGTTGGTTGGTTTACTTCTATTCCCAAAATTTTAAGTCTTTAGGATGTGGACACACAATTATTATATATTCTGCCACTACTCTTCACATGTGGCATTGAACTTATTTTGGGAGGTTGCAATTACAGGAATTTGAACTCAGGATCTTCTGCTTTGGTACCATGATAAAGTTTGTTAGTTTTCTTAAGCGGTTAGGATGTGGACCAACAATTATCTTATAATCTAACAGTTTCTAACTTGGCTCTGTTTACACTGTTTGAGTTGCAGGACATGCATCATCCAAAGTTATCAACAGCTGCCGGTTTTGTGAAAAGATTGCATGATCTTGCAGGTTAGTAGGACGTTTAATAATATTTATGGCTTTCTAACTGGTATTCTTGATGTAGTTATGATTTAATGATGGCTAGTGATTATGTGCTGCAGTTCAGAAGAGGGGCTATGTGGACCTCCAAGAGATGGCAAGGGAAGACAGTATGTCATGCTACTACGGTTCCACTCTTCCAAAAGATTCAACTTGTAATTTGGCCTGCAGTTGGACTGCATCAGATCCTTCTACTTTTCTAATTCGGGGGAAAAAATTATCTGGAAGACAATAAGAAGGTTTGAACAGAAATGTCTTAGTGATATTGTTGTCTAGCATGAGTACTTTTAGAAAAAAAGTTTGTTACATGTTCCAACTGTGCTCATTGTACCCAAAGATTGAGATTACACAATATTTTGCTGTCAAGCATAGGATTGTGTATCCTTTGAAATTTTAATCGCTCATTTCAGATGTCGTGTTCTTGGAATCCTGATTGTGTTGTTTTGTGATAACTGGTTTTTATGTGTCCATTGTCATAATTTTTTCCAATATCAGTATCTTTTCTAGCTCATTGTAAATGTGAAACTAGTGTTTTGCCACCACCTTCCCCAATAAAGATAAAGTTTCCTTAAAAATAATTTCCTATAATAGTTGCTAGGAATTTCTAATCCTGATCTCTTTACATGTTCTTTTTCTTGATCTTCTTGAATGTTATTGATACTTCAAGAACAGTTGGAGTTGTAGTTGTGTTCCTGTCCTTACTTTCTCTTTTGTTGCTTTTGTTTCCTCCCCACAGGTTAAGGCAAAGGGCACGTTGATGCAAATGGTGGCTGCGGATTGGCTAAGATCTGACAAGCGTGAAGATGATCTTGGAGGCCGTCCAGGGAGCATTGTTCAGGTCATTAATTAACTGAAAATTTGATTTCCTTATCACTAAGATTTTTACTGGCCACCTATCACATATGAGGTTTATTGATATCATTGAATTGGCACAAAGATGGCTGTAATTTCCAAAATTTTACAAGCTTTTGTTCTGCAGAAATATGCAGCTCAGGGTGGGCGAGAATTCTTCTTCATTGTGAACATTCAGGTGAATCCAATCTTCCATGACTTTTCTACTAGTTTTTGCATGTCAATAATTACCACATCATCTACGTGAATCAGGTCCCAGGTTCAACCACGTATAGCCTAGCGCTATACTACATGATGAATTCTCCAGTTGAAGATGCACCGTTGTTAGAGAGTTTTATCAAGGGGGATGATGCATATAGAAATTCAAGGTTTAAGCTCATACCATATATATCTAAGGTTAGTATATGTAATGATTGTTGCAATCCAGTGGGAATGGAACACTCATTCTTTATCTCCTCATCTTTGTGAAAATGCACACAAAACACACAACATGTAACACTGCCTGAAAAAGATGCAACTTTTACTGGTGGGTGTTGTTCAGAAAACACAACATTTAACCTCTCTCTCTCTCCACACCCCCAACCCCCCCTTTTCTGTTTCTGTTTAACTATATTTCTGCTGAATAGGAATATGCATCCTATCTTTTCCCAAGTTTTTTTTCTTCTTTCAAAGTTTGATTTGTTGCTTGTTTATTGTCAACCTGAAACCAGGATACTAACATTAATCATCCCATTTATTCCTGTCTACGTAAATTGTTTATATCTTTTAAGTTATGTGTTCAATCATTTATTTGTAGGGCCTGCAATGATCTTGAATCTGACATAAAATCTTTTGATTTGTGAAACAAATGCACCGCCATTCATCTAAGTTTTATCCTTACTTAAAAAACAGCGTACTTTCATTCTTCATAAAAGATTCCTGATTTTGATATTATGTGTTCATGAGATGATTCTTCTGTCCCCAGGGTTCATGGATAGTTAAGCAGAGTGTGGGAAAGAAAGCGTGCCTCATTGGTCAAGCACTTGAAATTAATTATTTCCATGGGAAGAACTACTTGGAGGTATGTGAATTTGAAGATATTGTTATGGATGTACATTAAAAATTGTTACTTGGATTCTTGAAATTACCCCACATATTAACCCCCCTGGATATAGAATGATGCAAGAGGGGCTCTTTCTTTTACTTGGGGTGTGTGGGGGATGGGGTTTAAATGTTTACATCTCCCCTTTTTGTGTAGATTTTTCATTGTATAACTAATTCTGAAATATTTGGCTATCATTCAGCTTGGTATTGACATTGGGTCATCCACCGTTGCAAGGGGCGTGGTTAGTCTTGTCCTTGGGTACCTAAACAATCTGGTCATTGAGATGGCATTTTTGATACAGGTAAGCATCTAGTTCATCACATTGTAACAATTAATACTCCAGTTTGTTTCATTTCTAAAGATATCCCTTTGCACATTAATATCTTGTGTGAGCAAAAAGCTCATATTCAAAATGATGAGTTTGCTAAAAAGTGAAGTAACAAACAAAAAAAATCATCTTGCTTTAGAATAATCAACTTTCTTTGATGACTGACTGGTTCCATTTACATGCTTGACTCTCAATGTTTCTTGCCCAGGCAAATACGCCAGAAGAACTGCCGGAGTATCTTCTTGGAACCTGCCGCCTTAATCATCTTGATGCCTCTAAGTCGGTTTTAGCGAAACCATCATGATTATTATTGTATCCCAATTCATTCTCAAGTTCAACGACAAGATATAGCTTGACATGGAAGGTGGCCATATTGTTGAATTGAACATATATAAAACATAAATTGGAAATCAGGGCAGCTAGAGCTACAAGTAGAAGTCATTCTTTTATTCAATCAAATTTGATATTGGGAACAAGGCATGAAGACTGTAGATATCATTAGGATTGATTTTCCACCTTTGTAAAGATGGCTTTTTTCTTTTTCTCATTAGTGTTCATTAATTCTTCGATTCAGTTAGTTTGTTTTCATTCTAATTTCAGTGAGAGAAGATTGTCATCCTGCTCAATTGATATGAAACTTCAAATCATTTTTAGTTGTTATCAATTTCTGCCCATGATCAGTCTGGTGATTCAATAGTGAGAAGTCTTTTAAAAAGTAATAAATGCAAAATATCAACATATGATCAATTCTGCACACAAAATGTCAGCTACAGTCTGCAGAGCATCCTGCCCGCCCGCAGCCGAGCAGATGTCGTTTTACTGGTGCCTGCCAAGTGCAGTGCATGCGTCCACTTTACAGGTCAAATAATTAAAAAAGAAAATACCTAGGAGGATCATTGGATATCATAATATCAACTTTTTACTACACAATCTAGAGAGAAGGCAACAAAAAGCTTTTATAGCTTCTGATTTCAACCTAGCTAGGTCATAGAGCTCAAGAGACCCAAAGTCTTATCCATATATTTTGAATTCCTTATATTGTTCTAGACTATTCTTCTTTTTCGACAAATAAAAAAAGACTACTAAATAAAAAATGAAATTAATGTAAGAGAGAAAATTCTGTAAAAGAAAACCCTAGCTGCTATACATTCAATTCAATATTTACGGAAAATTGGGAAAGCTATATATTGCCAAATCCCAACTAGTCTCTGTATCATAAGAAATAAATACGACTCAAAGCAGCTACCCTGGCGGTCTGAAACATGTCTCCTCTTGTAATGCTTGCTTCTTCTTTTTTTGGGGGCAAAGCTAGGTTGCCTTTCTCTTAAACCCTAGCCAGCTGGCATCAACATTTAAGAAAATAGAAACCCTAGCTAGGTCAACTCTACTATAAATTCATTTCTCTCCTTGTTTAGGCTTCCTCCTCTTCCATTTTCCTCTTCCTAGCTAACCAGTCTACTTTCTTCTCTTCCTAGTCTATTTACTCGTTATGGCCAACCAAGAAAAAGTGTGGGTATCCCTCGCATTTATGGTCTTCTTAACTTTAGTAACCCTCTGTTTTGTAACCTTTCCATCAATCTATACTTATTCCGCACTATTGTTAGTGTTTCTCTCGGGGGTTTTGGTTCTCAACTACTTACATCCCTACTGTGGAATCATTTGGGGGGCTCTGCTCCTTCTATGGGGCACTGCTGAGATGCTAATGTCCTATCCCTGCTGTTGCTCGTAGGGTTTATTGTCTAGTTTGAAGGTGTTGGATCGAAGACTTTTGATGAATTTCATTTTGCTGTTGCTCGTAGGGTTTATTGTCTAGTTTACTATTTTGCAGTCTATTGGTCCTTTGTACTCTTCTGCTGGTCTCTTTTATTAATGAATGAAATTCCATTTGGTCCCTTTCTTCTAGTAGTGGTTCTTTTAAACTTTCTTACTCGGTTTTTTGTGTGTAAAGGCATCCGTTTCAGGCTGCTCCCTTGAGTATTTCCTATGATTATCATCATTAGGTAAAATTAATAAATAAAAAATATCAACCTAATAGATTTTCCAACTTCCAACTCCAACAACCACCCACCTCTCAACATATCAAGGAGAGAGCCAGCCTTATAAAATGAATAAAAATTCCAATTGACATGCAAGCCACGTACCACAGTCAATCCTGCCACCCTGCAGTCTGCAGATCGTCTATATATTCTGCACACTGCCACTTAGCCTGCCTGTGACCCTGCCTGCCTCCCTGCCCCTGCCACCTGCCACCTGCAGCAGAGCCGAGCATGCGTCCACTTTACTACAGGGTAAAAGAAAAAAAGAAAAATGGTCAGTGTGGGATGCAATATATCACGTCTCAAAAATGTGTGTCCTTTCATCTGATCCATATATGTATATGAATAAAACAATTAAGTTGGAAATAAATTCTATACTATTTCTTTCATGAATTTATTACTTACAAGTTTGTGCCTCTAAGTTTGCGTGTTGATCGAATTATGTTTTACACCTGATAAAAGCTAACATTTTTTATTTTTTTTTGGGTCAAATAAAAGGTAGCTGCCTTCCTCTTAAACCCTAGCTAGCTAGCTGGCGTCAACATTTAAGAAAATAGAAACCCTAGCTAGGTGAACTCTACTATAAAAGAAGCCGCCACCCCACCCACCCATCCACCCACATTTCCTGTTCATTTCTCATTTCTCCCTTCCTCTCCCTAGCCAGTCTACTTTACACTATGGCCAACGATAACGATAACCAAGTAGCACCACCATCGCCGCCTAATAACCAAGAACAAGTGAGGCTAACGCGTTTCACCCTCGCATTTTTGGTGGTAGCCGCCGTCCTTTTTTTCACCTTCCCATCAGTCTATAGTTATTCTCTAATAGGGTTAGCTATTTTGTGCGGGATTTCGGTAATTATTACCCAGCAAAATCCATACTTACTAATAATCTGGGGGGGTCTGATCTTTCTATTGGGCTCTATAGTGATGCTCCTCACCTATCCCTGTCCCTGCCCTTGCGTCCATTAATTTTGGGGGTAAAGAAGTTCTCTGTGCTAGCTATGTCTTTTCTTTTTCTTTCGTCCATTAGTTTGGTACGGACTTGGTGCTGTTGCTAGCTTGCCTGGGTTGCTGCTTGTAGGGTTTATGTCTTTTATTGTCTAGTTATTTAGCTATTTTTCAATATATGTTGGTCCTTTGTACTGGTTCTGCGGGTCTTTGTTTAATGAAATTCCATTTGGTACGTACCTTTGTATTGTGCTTTTTTGCGCTGCTATTTTATTTTCTTGCTCGGTTTTTTGTTTAAAATGTTTATGCAAATTTCTCATGAATTAATGGACACAACACAAGTTGGGAACCTCCATAGTTGGATTCTGTAAAGAAGAAAACAAGTGATCACTACCACCACCATAAGAATTTAAAGGTGTTTACCAAAAACATGACGAGGAGGTAAAATCAATCTAACAAAATAGTGATCATGATGTGTCTATTCACTTCACAGGTAAAAAAAGAAGGAAAACAAACCCAGCAGACCATGAAAGTGATAGAATTTACACAAGAAACGAAATATCTTTACTACAGGTTTAAGAAAAAGCAAGCCTTTTTATTTAATTCAATTGTAAAAGAATACAAGAGGAGACACGTTTCAGGCGGCTGCCTCGGGTATTTCCTATGCTCATTGTAGAAAATAATGGTTCTCTATCTATGTTGTTAAATATGAAACCTTAGGGAAAATGATGTCAATATTAAATAGAGGTAAATCAGTTTACATACTTATATAATATATGGAAAAGAATTAGTAAAAATGTAGGTAAAGTGCCAAACCTATAGGCTATATAGGGGTGGGCATCTTTGTCTATTGGGCATTTTCTTAAATGTTGAGTTGGAGTTTTTCAACTAACATTAGTAATAAATATTTTTATTCTCAAGAGTTATTGTTAAATGGCGTTACTGCTTACTGAATTAATCCAAATCGAATAAGCGGTTAATTGATCCGAACAGTTAAAGATTCTAATGGTTGGTTAATGGAAGAGAAATTGGCCTACCAAAGGCTTTAGTTTGGTTAATGAAAGAGCCCTCTACCGATCCAAATCAATCTGTGCTCAGGCCTAGGTTATATATACAGTACTAATTAATAATATGACTTTTATTAATTATGAATAACTTACAAATATTGGTAACTTAATGTAGAGAAAAAATATAGGCAAATCTTGTCAAACATGTAGGTTTAGGCCTTAATTGAAAAGCTTTTCACATAAAAGGAAAGTTTCAGAGTTTTGAGAGGAAAGAATGTGGGTGTATTCTTATTACAAGAAATGGCAAAGATGCATATACATATACTAGGGTTTTTACACAAAGGTTCTAGAGAGGTATCGAAGAAAACGAAGGTATATTCCTAATGCATATCCATTTTTGTATTCTTTATTCTTATTCTAGAGACTTCTTGTATAGGAAAAATATACACTATGTAAAAGAGAGACGTTGAGACAATGAAAATACAATTCACATTCAAAATCCTAGCTGAGCAATCCTCTTCCTTTTTTTTCTGAAAATTTCAGTCCTCCTTTTAAAATCCTAACTGAATTATGTCAATTCAAAGTCTCAAACTTAAAACCCTTTAAATAAATTATCTCAAGTCAAGGCAGTCAGGCCACCCTTAATTTGGTTCTTCAGTCACATAATCAGATACATATGAACCAAAAAAATAAAGTTGGAAATAAACTCTATAGTATTTCTAAGTTTGTGTGCGTTGATCGAATTATATATGGTTTACACCTGATAAAAGCAAACATTATAATTGAATGAGGTTTTTTCAGTCTTTTCAGCTAGCGGTCTGAGATATGTCTCCTCTTGTAAAGCTTGTTTTCTTTTTCTTTTTCCTTTTTTTTTTTTTGGGGCCAAATCAAAGGTAGCTGCCTTTCCCTTAAACCCTAGCTAGCTAGCTGGCGTCAACATTTAAGAAAATAGAAACCCTAGCAAGCTAAACTCTACTATAAAAGAAAAGAAACCCCCACCGACCCACACCCACATTCCTTTCATTTCTCATCTGGAGGAAGATCTTCCTCTTCATAGCCAGTCTAGTTACTATGGCACCACCGCCTCAGCCCGAAGAAATGAGGCTATCGCCTCTCACCCTCGCATTTTTTGTACACGCCAGCTTAGCAGTCCTCATTTATGTCAGCTTCCCATCAGTCTATAGTTATTCTCTACTAGGGTTAACTTTTATGTGGGGGGTTCCGGATATTATTACCCACCAAAATCCATACTTCGCAGTCCTTTGGGGGATTCTGCTCATTTTCTGGGGCATTTTTGGGATGCTCCTCACCTGTCCCTGTGCCTGCGTCCAGTAGTTTGGGTTTAGGGGTAAACCACTTCTCTGATGGCTATGTCTGGCAGTGTCCTAGGGTATTGGATCGAAGAAAAAGAAGAAGAAGAATCGAAAGATCAGTGGGGAGCTTGCCTGCCTTGCTGCTTGTAGGGTTTATATCTTTATTTTCTAGTTTATTTAGCTATTTTGCAATCTGTGGTCCTTTGTATTGTTCTGCTGGTCTCTTTGTTTAATGAAATTCCATTTGGTCCCTTTGTATTGTGCTTTTTTGCACTTTCTTGCTCGGTTTTTGTTTAAAATGTTTATGCGTATTTCTGATGAATTAATGGACACAAGTTGGGAACCTCCACACATTTGAATACAAAATGTCTTATAACAATTTAAAGGTGTTTACCAAAAAACATGAGGAGGTAAAAATCAATCTGTGGATCTTCCAAAAATAATTCCCGAACATGATCGTAGAGCCACACATCTAACAAAATAGTGATCTTGATGTGTCTATTCACTTCAGGTGAAAAAAAAGGGTAAAAAAATTCCCAGCAGAGTATGAAAGTGATAGAATTTGCACAAGAAACGAAATATCTTTACTAAAGGTAGGCAAATCTTGGTTAGATGATTCGTAATATGACAAATCTTGGTTTATTACGAATGTTGGTGTATTGTCATTACAAGAAACGACTTTCTTTGATGACTGACTGCTTCCATTTACATGCTTGACTCTCAATGTTTCTTGCCTGCACAGACAAATACGCCTCCGGAACCTGCCGCCTTAATCATCTTGATGACATGACTCTAAGTCGGTTTTAGCGAAACCAAACCATGATTATTATTGTATCCCAAAATTCATTCTCAACGACAAGATATATGGCGTTACATCGAAGGTTGCAAATCAGGGCAGCTACAAGTAGAATTCTTTCTTTTATTCAATCAAAATTTGATATTGGGGGCATGGCATTGTAGATAAATTATATCATTAGGATTGATTCTCTATGTGGATCTTCCAAAAATAATTCCCAAACATGATTGTAGAGCCATATCACGACGTGTCTATCCACTTCAAAGGTATTTTTTTTTTTTAAAAAAAAACAAAGGAAAAAAAATCCCAACCGACCATGAAAGTGAGAGAAAATAATGGTTCTATATGTTGTTATATATAAAACCTTAGGCAAAATAATGTAAATATATATTAAATAGAGATAAATCAGTTTACGTACGTAATTTTTTTTTAGTTTACGTACATATATAATATAAATAATGGAACAGAATTAGTATAAATATTTGTAGGTAAATGATCTTGTCAAACATGTAGGCTTATTATATATATATATATCTATCTTGCGTGAGTATGCCCTTAATTGAAAAGCTTTTCACATAAAAGGAAAGTTTCAGAGTTTATCTAGAGAGGAAAGAATGTAATTACAAGGAAAAGGTAAAGCTGCATATGCATATATTACTATTAGCTAGTTAGGATTTTTACACAAAGGTTCTAGACAAGTATCGAAGAAAACAAAAGGTACTGTATTCCTAATGCTTATCCATATATATTCATTTCAATTTGCAATGTTGGAGAGCCATCTGGTCTGGTGTGTGTGTGTGGAGTATTTTTGTCAACCAACGGCTATATATGTTGGTGTTTTGAATAAAATAAAATATAAAAATATTTCAGTAGCTAATTGATGCTCTTACCACCTCTCAAAATCGTGGTAAATTTGCCGGCTTATGTGTGGAGTTGGATTTAACTAGGCCTTTGGATGCGTTTGTTCAGATTAATGATAATTGGTATAACATAGATTATGAGGGTCTCGATTTAATGCCTTAGCTCAAGTCAATGAGGAGTTGGGGAATAATGCAGCAGATTTCAGGCTCAGTAATATTCAGATCAATAGTAGACCAGCTAATCATGTTCATGAGAAAGTGGAGTTGGGCCCCAAGGTCTGGACTAAGTCCACTAAATCTGTGGAGAGAAATGCTTGGAATAATATTTCTAATCTTAATATGAAAGTGACTTCTAGAGATGATAACAATTCAAGGAAATCTATCTCAGTTTTAAAGGATACCATTGGTGCTTCAAAGGGAAAGGGGAAGATTATACTTAGTGGAAGAACGGTTGGGGCTACTAACTCCGTCCCAACGCAAATTAATAATTGGGTGAATGGTCAAGATCTACAATATCAAAAGGGGTGTACATCTTTGGCCATCAACCCCTTTATATTCCTGAATCTGATTGTACCAAGGATGATCACTATGAGCCCGAGGGAGAAAACGGTGAGTTAACTATTTCTGCTCCTGCTAATCTGGCTATGAATGAAAGCATGGACCTATCTGAAGGTCATGACAATCCTCTAGTAGAAAAGTGAATGGCAATACCTCCACCGTTATTGGAGGGATGAATCTTGGGCTTTAAGGGCTTAGGCCTTGGGTTTCGCTATAATTCTACCTGAATTTATGAATATTGTTTGTTGGAATGTGAGATGTGCTGCGTGCGCCAGTTTCAAGTATAATGTTGATAATCTAATTCGTACTCATCATATGGATATCCTTTTCATTTATGAGCCTCGTATTAGTGGTGAGAAAGCTATGTCCGTTGTAAAAAAATTAGGCTTTTCTAATTTTGAGATTGTTGATGCTGTGGGTTTTTTTAGTGGTCTGTGGATGCTATGGGATCAGCATAAGGTTAAAGTGGAGATTGTAGGGACTTATGATAAGTCTATCTCTGCTTGTGTTTGTCCCCTAAAGCAAGCCCCTTAGCTTTTCACTGCAGTCTATGCGAGTCCCTGTGGAAGTAAGAGGGCTCAGTTGTGGGATTATATGAGTTTTGTGGCTAGAAGCCACAACTTACCTTGGCTACTGGCTGGGGATTTCAATGAAATGTTGAGTATTGAGGATAAATTCGGAGGTGCTTCTACTTTGAGGGTCCGAGGTTTTAAAAATTGGTTTGATGGTAATGATATGGTGGACTTAGGATTCTCTGGCCCTAAGTTTACTTGGACCAACCAACAAGTTTTCGAAAGACTGGATAGAGCAATTTGTAATCTTAGTTGGAGAAGAATGTTCAATGAGGCTCATGTGAGACATCTACCTAGGACAAAATCTGATCATGCTCCAATTAAGATTTATCTCAACTCTTTGTTAGCACTTGACCCTCTGAAGAGGCCTTTTCGCTTTGAGGCCATATGGTTACAGCATGCTTTATTCCCTGAGTTGGTGGCCAAGGTTTGGGGGAGTTCTACTGGTTATGCTTTGGATAAAACATATAGGCTGGTAGAGCCTATTCAATAATGGAATTCTACTCTTTTTGGCCATTTGAAGCAAAGGAAGGCTAGATATTGTTGGCTAGACTTGAAGGTATTCAAAAAGCTCTCTGTCAAGGATCTAATATTTTTCTCAGTAAGCTTGAGTTGTCTCTTATTGAAGAATTCAATACTCTTCTTGATCAAGAGGCATTAATTTGGAAACAAAAGTCTAGGCTGGGGTGGCTCTAAGAAGGTGATAGAAATACAAAAAAAATTCACCTCACTACTGTGATCCGAAGAAGAAGAAATAGAATTCAAAGACTTAAAAAGGATGATGGTGCATGGGTTGAGGAATCTGAAGGTATATAAGCTCTGGCGGTAGAGTATTTCATGAACCTTTTTTCAATGCCTCTGCAAGTCCTTTTCGAACTCTTTGCCTCAGCTCTTTCCTAGCATCTCTGCTGCAGATATGGTCTCTCTTAGTAATCCTGTTTAACTAGAGGAAGTGAAGGAAAATCTCTTTCAGATTGGTGGCTTGAAGGCTCATGGAATAGATGGCTTTCCTGCATGTTTCTACTGGACTCAATGGACACAATGTGGTAATGGTATTTTTAGTTTGGTGTTGTATGCTTTCCATTGTAGGTTACCAGGCAAACTCAATAATACTTTACTTACCCTTGTTCCTAAAGTGGAGAATCCTCATAGTATATTTCAGTTTAGGCCCATTAGCTTATGTTCCACACTTTATAAAGTTATCTCTAAAGTGATTGTTGCTCGACTGAGACTTGTTTTATCTAGCCTCATTAGTCCCAACCAAGTTAGTTTGGTCCCAGGTCGACATATCACGATAATATTCTAATTGCTCAAGAGCTTACGTATAAATTCAAAATTTCCAAAGCCAAAAAAGGTTTCCTTGCTTGGAAAATCGATCTGTCAGGCTCAATTAGGACTTCATTGAGCAAGTACTTGGTGAGGTCGGGTTACCTCACATGCTTCTTCAATTTGTAATAAGCTGTGTCCAGTCTGTCCACTATCATATTTGTATTAACGGGGAGATCACTGAGACTTTTGTGCCAAAGAATGACATAAGGCAAGGGGATCCTCTTTCACCCTACTTGTTTGTACTATGTATTAGAAAATTATCCCACATTATATTTGATACTGTTAACATAGGTGTATGGAAGCCTGTGAAATCTTCTCAGTCTAGGCTAGTTGTTTCCCATCTCTTTTTCGCTAACGACCTTGTTCTTTTTGCTGAAGCTAGTCTCCAACAAGCCAAGATCATGAAAGACTATTTGGAGGTTTTTGCCAAGTGTCGGGACAAGCTATTAACTTTGATAAATCTGCTATTTTATGCTCTCTTAATACTTGCAAGGAGACTGCTCAGGAAATCAGTAATATTTATGGTTCCTTTTTTTACTGATAATCTGGGCATGCCTCTATTACACTCTAGGCCTAAGAAAGCTACTTTTAATGGGCTTCTTGACTAAGTACACAGAAGACTTACTGGATGGAAAGGAAACTTCTTTCTCTAGCTGGGTGAGCCACTCTTATTAAGGAGGTTATTGCTTATATCCAAATTTATACTATGCAAACGACTAAATTGCCTGCAAGTGTTTGTGAGAAGCTTGATAAGCTTAATCGTAACTTCTTCTAGGGAGGCAGTGAAAAGAAAAACAAAATCCACTTATGCCAATGGAATTTGGCCTGTAGACCCAAGAGCAAAGGTGGTTTAGGTTTTAAGCGAACAACTCATATGAATCAGAGCTTGTTGGCCGAGATTGGGTGAAGGATTCATAATAAAGACAACGGATTGGGGGATAAAATTTATGAGGCTAAATATCTACAAGGTAAGGACATCATGGATCCCTCATTGATTTTAAGGCTTGACTCTTCTTCTACATGGAGAGGTATCCTTCATGGTGTTGATCTATTAGTGAAGGGTATAGGGTGGAGAATTGGCAATGGAGATCAAGTGAAGTTTTGGCAAGATAAATGGTTGAATGATGAGACTTTGCTTAAGCACCATGGTAAGGCTTCTATCTCTTATTTGAATTGTCACGTATCTCACTTCTTTAAGGGAGGTCGGTGTGATATTGATAAACTCATAACGGTGCTTGATGAAGACACTAGTAAAAAATCACCCTTGCGCGATGAAAAATTATTCGTCACTCAAAGTCACTTTGCGCGACGAAACACAAAACTTCGTTGCTACAAACCTTGCACGACAAATTTTTGCGAGACGAATTGTTTTTCGTCGCGCAAAATCACTTTGCGCGACGACAATACATTGTCGCGCAAAGTCTTGAGCGACCAAATTTTGCGCGACGAAAGACAATTCGTCGCGCAAAGTCACTTTGCTCAATGAAAAACAATTCGTCGCGCAAAGCTCTTTGCGCGACGAAAAACAATAAACTTCGTCGCGCAAAGTCCTTATAAAAATAAATATACAAATTTATAAATAAACCCAATCCTATACATGTATTTATAAAAAAATCCAAGCACTATTTAAACATAGAAACACACCCAAAATCAACTCCAAAATCAACAATTGTATATTTTTTGGGTGTGTTTATAAATGGGTTTTGAGTGTGTGTAATGATGGGTTTTGGGTGTGTTTATAAAGTGTTTTGGGTGTTGGGTTTTTTTATAATTTCAGCCCTCATTTTGGGTGTTTTAGTGAAACTCCCAAATAAATAATAATAAAAATTTCTTTTTTAAAATCTTTTTGTTAGAAAATATATTTTTTAAATTGACGATCGAATTAGTTCATTGTATTCATATAGGATCAAAGAGTGTAGCTGTAAAAAATCATCAAAATCGGAGTTAAAATAACCGTTAAATCGTGATTTTTCATTTATAACCGTCAAAAAGTTTTGTCATATTACTTGATCTCTGAATGTTTATTTTTTCCGATTTTTGGCGTATATGATCTCGAAGTATAAACAAACAAGTTTGACGGTTGGATCGTTGAAACTAGTTTCGTAGAATGCATATGCCATCAAAACAATATATTCACTAACAATTAAGAGTTTATTTATACTTTTGTTAAATATAACATAAGATGTTGTGGTATCCACTAGTGTAAATATTTTAAATTGACGATCGAATTAGTTCATTGTATTCATATAGGATCAAAGAGTGTAGCTGTAAAAAATCATCAAAATCGGAGTTAAAATAACCGTTAAATTGTGATTTTTCATTTATAACCATCCAAAAGTTTTGTCCCGTTACTTGATCTCTGAATATTTATTTTTTCCGATTTTTGTCGTATATGATCTCAAAGTATAAACAAACAAGTTTGACGGTTAGATCGTTGAAACTAGTTTTGTAGAATGCGTATGCCATCAAAACAATATATTCACTAACAATTAAGAGTTTATTTATACTTTTGTTAAATATAACATAAGATTTTGTGGTATCCACTAGTGTAAATATTTTAAATTGACGATCGAATTAGTTCATTATATTCATATAGGGTCAAGGAGTGTAGCTGTAGAAAATCATCAAAATCGGAGTTAAAATAACCGTTAAATCGTGATTTTTCATTTATAACCATTGAAATTTTTTGTCCCGTTACTAGGTCTCTGAATGTTTGTTTTTGCGATTTTTGGGGTATACAATCTTGAAGTATATACAAACAAGTCTGACGGTTGGATCGTTGAATGGCGTGTGTATATATATATTTATTTACTTATTAAGTAGCTTTAAATTTATTTATTTTGTACGTATACATTTATTAAGTAGCTTTAACCTTATTATTCAAAGCAATTATTTTTATAAATATCATGCTACGAACCAATTTTTCGTCTCTCAAAAGTTTTCGCGACCAACAGTTCGTCACGCAAAACTCTAAAAATTTGGGCGGGTACCAAAAATGGGACACTGGATTAAAAATAAAAATAAAAATTTTAGACTTTACGCGACCAATATTTTGTGTCATTCAAAACTTTGCGTGACCAATATGTATTTTTCGTCGTGCAAAAATTTCAAAATTTGGGCAGGTACCAAAAATGGGATGCGGGGATTTTTTTTTACTTTGCACGACCAATATTCCAATATTTTTGTCGCGCAAAAATTTCAAAATTTGGGCGGATACCAAAAATGGGACGCGGGAATTTTTT